ATTGTCCGCGTGGGGGAGATGAAAATCCGCACTTTCTATTGGCTGGTGGCTCTGCGCTTAGTTGAAGGTGTCCCTGACTCCTCTTCAGACCATTAGGGAGGGGTTTGTTACCCAGGAAGGAACAGTGTTATGTGCGGTCATAAATATAGTGGAGCCGTGTTTAACTTCTTGGTCGCATTTCAAAGGGTTTTTACCTCCCAAGATTCCAACGCTATCGCATTCCCCCCCCCCTCCCCCTCCAACGTTTTACATAACCTTATGTAAAACTAGACTTGAATTATATTATTGGTTCTTTCGGTAAAGTCACGTAGAAGGGAAATAATACAAATATAAAAAAATTCTCACGCCGTTTCCGATTGCAACACAAGCAAGCAATCATCATCAGGTGTGAAAACCACAAAGAAAATTTGAAGGAAAAAAACGCCACTTTTTTCAAATTTTATTGCTGTGGTTTTCACACCTGATGATGACGATTGCTTGTATTGCAATTCGAAACGTGGGAATTTTATTTTATTTTTTATTGGTTCCCTACTACGTGACTTTACCGAAAGAACCAATAATATGAATCCCTGCAGTCACGAAAGCTTTAAATCAAAATTTAGACTTGAATTGTCAACGGCTTCCCACTGAGGTCATGTAATCCGTAATAATCACGGCCGGGTCAATCAGGGGTCACCAGAGTGTTGATTGAGCTACTGAGCAGTTGTAGAGGCAGTCGCCCTCCAGCAACAACGGAGGGCAGAGGAGTGACGCTCACAACAACGAGCGGAGCGCCTGGCGGATAAAATGCAGCAAACTGCCACAGTAACTGTGCCCTAGGGCCTACGAAAACTATAGGGCCTACTAAAAATAACATTTTACCATTGACCATGTTTTGATTTAAAGCTTTTGTGACTGCAGGGATTTATATTCTTGGTTCTTTCGGTAAAGTCACGTAGAAGGGAAACAATAAAATAAAAATATATATAAACAATAAAATTCTCACGACGTTTCGATTGCAACACAAGCATTCATCATCATCAGATGTGATGCCTGATGATGATTGCTTGTGTTGCAATCGAAACGTCGTAATATGCTATTATTTTAATTTATTATTTTATCTTTAGACGTGACTTAACCGAAAGAAACAAAGAATAATTCCTGCAGTCACGAAAGCTCCAAAATCAAGATTCATCAGATGTGACTTTACCGAAAGAACCAAGAACGTTGACCATGTGTTTTTGTTTATATGATGAAAAAATGTAACCAATATATCTTCTTGAATAAATATGTTTAAAAAGCAAGGGTAGGCACAGTGTATATACAAAGAGGCAGAGTAATGTCAATGATTTTTCATAAGGTGGAAGAGATTAACACTGAAGATTAACTTTTCAAGATTTTTTCAATGCTAAATTAGAAATGACATCTTCAAATAGTGTGTTTTGCACAATATCATTCTGTAAAGACAGTATTGCAAGGGTCGTAACAATGGGCAGCAGAACCATACAAAGTTATCACTGAAGGCCTATGTAACAGAAGTCCCTAGAGCCTACAAGAACCTTAATCTGGCCCTGTCAGGTATCCAAATCTTAATCATGGGCGTGTGCATCTTGTAGACTTCTACCAGCGCTAGTGATTGTGGAGTGGTTAAAAGTTACTGCGTTACGAATCTCGCCACCTGAGTTCGGTTCCCTGCCATGGCTGACATCATCTGGACCGGTCCTGGTCTCATTCATTCACCAGGGTGGTGAAGTATGGTCAATCATTCGCCATGACCGACATGCCGTGGGGAAGACTTCTTTCAGCAGTAGATTTATATTTACCTCTGCCACCGAATGCGAATCAGCGATTGTATTCGCATACATTTTGTGGTAAAATATGCGATGAAAATGGCCCATTTCCTAAAACGTGCCATAGCTATAAGGTACTCTGTGTTTACTGATAAGACTGTTGTTGAAAGATGTGTTGAGGTTTTGTTGGTGTTGTTATTTGCGCTTATGCGTCGTAGGCAGTCCCTCGAGTTGGAGGGTGACGTCCATCAGGTTTAGTGGTGGCCCTTGAGGTGGCTGAGGAGTCTAATTCTGGATCCGCAGATCTTTGGGCATCGAGGGCACGCTGGTCCGCAGGTGGAAGTGGAATCCGCAAGTGCCGGGTTGGTTTTCCTTTTAATTTATTTTTTTGGCGTCGATCCACTTCGGCATCGAGACGTTGTTCGGTCTCGAAGTGGGCCACGTCCTGGTGGATGCAGTGCCGCCACCCCTAGGCAGTGGGCAGCTTGCTGCTCCTCTCAGTCTTGAAGGGTGATTTTCCACGATTCCGGGAGGACCTGAAGGTTAACCTTGAACCGCACTTCCTTTGCCACCTTCCCTCGTCCGCTGACCATTGGAGAATTGGGAGAAAAGGATGTGGTGGGGAAGGCGTTTCTCAGGCATCTGGATGCAGTGGCCTGACCACCGGAGTTGTTTTCTTTTATAAGTATGCCCCACTGCCAACGCAGTAGGACCAAATCATTATATATTTTTGATGAAAATAGATTTTGGCGACGAAAAATCAACCGCATCAGTGTTTTATTGTTGTTGCCTCATTTCAGATTCGTCAAGCATCCGGCTTCCTTAGGCATTCGGCTTCCTTAGGCATTCCAATGGAAAGGGCCAGGTGGGGGCATTACACGGCACCACCACGTCGTGCTCAAGCCAGTAAATATTGGTACAGGGTGCCGCAAGTGGCGAGATGTTATCTCCCTCACCCTGGTATGCAGGAGGTCGTGGTTTCGACCCTGACACCTGCTGTATATTTGGAGTTTGCATGCCTCTCTCTCTCTCCCATGGTCGCGTGTATTTTTCTCCGGGTAATCCGGTTTTTCCTCCACGTTTAGAATGAATATTACGTGTTTAGAATATTTGGCTGCAATACATTTACACACAAGCCACTTCTTTGAGCTATCATTTGTGATAGCTCAAAAAGGTGGCTTCTGAAAAAGAGCTACACAACTCAGTGGGCCTTACCTGGTTAAAAACAAAGTGTGATCGTCATGACTCGAGTCTGACTCGAGTCCAAGTCACATGACTCGAGTTCACACCTCAGAGGTGGGACAAAGTCATTGTTATGCAAGTCCAAGTCGAGTCTGAAGTCATCAAATTCATGACTCGAGTCTGACTCGAGTCCAAGTCACATGACTCGAGTCCACACCTCTGGCGAACACTACCTTGCTGTGACGTTTGGTCCAGAAATACCATGGCCGTTAACTAAACTTGTACGGTACCTATATGAATAGAACTGAAAAAAGTGCGAAAAAATCATGGACAGAAGAATGCTTGAAATTACATTTGAGAGAGAGAAAGAGGAACACGTGGATTACGGTAGAGATCATACGCGGGTTAAGGCCATCACCCGATCTATTAAGAAGGGGAATTTGACATGGGACGAGACGCGACACGGCCACAAGGAGGGATGGACGATTTGTCAAGGAATAGTAACGGCGGAGTTCACAGCCAAGGAATTGGTACGTGTCAGAGAGTCCATCCGCCAAAGGAGATGGAGCCATGAGATCACTTCGCTTGCAGACGGATCGTTATAGTTGGCGGCGGCTTGGGTGACGCTTTCATCTAGCAGTTGATTCATCATTGATTGTGATGAAAAGCGAATTAAGTTCAACATACAAGGAATCCTCTACTTACGAACTTTAAGAGATACGAACTAACATGCCCGTATGTTCAGTTGCCTGTTCGGAACGAAAGTCGTAGGTTCAATCGCCCCGCAATAGATGGCTGTGGTGGCATCTACATCTGCAGAACGTGAAGAACCAGTGGCATCTACAGCTACAGGAGATTATATAACCTTTAGTTTATATATTCTTGTTTATTTCGGTAAAGTCACGTAGAAGGGAAATAATAAAATTATTATTTTATTTTTGTAAAGTCACGTAGAATATGAATCCCTGCAGTCACGAAAGCTTTAAATCAAAACCTTTAGTTTGCATGCCGTACCACATGGTTGGAATCAACAGGAGTTAAGTTGGACTTACGAACAAATCGACTTACGAACAGACCTATGGAGCCGAACTCGTTCGTAAGTGGAGGAGTCCTCGTCCAAAGACAAAGATCCACCGTATAGCCTTTACATAATGTTGGGGCAAGTGCTGTTAGCGAGCAGCTATGAAAGGCCGAGGGGGTGGGTGGCCAGAACCACTCCCAGCCGCCTTTGTCTCCCCAACTGGCGATGTTTACTCCACACCGCACCAGGTACACTGGTATTTTTGCACACAGCGTTGGTTATACGGTGTTTTTCTGCAATATTTCGCTGTCTTTTCTTGGATTCTCTGTTTGCACTTAGTAACATATTCACTTTAAGATGTTTTATTATTCATGTTTTAGTTTTTTGTTTGTTGCGGTTGCACCCGATTCAAGAGCCGAATGGGCTCACAGGGCTATGAACTTGAACTTGCGGCTGAGTCGACCTAGGGGGAGGCCCAGGTCACCACCAACCCCAAGGTTTTAACCTCCGACATCTGGCAACGGCGTTCGTCATCTGCACCCCCCACCCACCCACGCCTCTTGACTCACCTCGCCCACACCTCAACCCAGTGGGAGGGGGAGGGTGGGAGGGGGGGGAGGGTGGGGAGGGTGGGAGGGTGGAAGGGAGGGGGCGGGAGGGTGGGAGGGGGGTGGGAGGGTGGGAGGGGGGGGAGGGTGGGAGGGGGGGGTGGGAGGGACGGTGGGAGGGGGGGTGGGAGGGGGTGGGAGGGGGGTGGGAGGGGGTGGGAGGGGGGGGTGGGAGGGGGGGGGAGGGTGGGAGGGGGGGGAGGGTGGGAGGGGGGGGGAGGGTGGGAGGGGGGGGGAGGGTGGGAGGGGGGGGAGGGTGGGAGGGGGGGGGGAGGGTGGGAGGGGGGGGGAGGGTGGGAGGGGGGGGAGGGTGGGAGGGGGGGGAGGGTGGGAGGGGGGGGAGGGTGGGAGGGGGGGGGAGAGGGTGGGAGGGGGTGGGAGGGGGTGGGAGGGGGGAGGGGGGGTAGGAGGGGGTGCCTCGTCCGCCTTCATTCCACACTTTCGTTGCGGCCGAAGGGTCCCCTCCCGGTGCCATTACGCATCTTTTTTTAAAAAATATATATCTTTTTAGTAAAGCACTTTGTTTAAAAATACAAATTAGTATTTGGGTTGTCGCGTCTTAGTTTTAAGCGGGCGGGGACGTGGATGTTAAGCCAGAGGGCGTTGTGTTTGGATCATGCAGCTGTGTCTTAGAGCGACGGACCTGCTGTTAATACGCGTACCAACATTCTTCGCCTTTTAGTCGAGGTAAGACTGCACACGCAACATCGGTGTTTCGTTGAGTAGGCGTACGACGATATTGTGGCAGTGCGATTTTTTTCGTTTTTATAAACGAATACGTTTAAATTCATTTAACGATTTGTTTGTTTCGAGGCCCGAATGCTTGACCGGCTCTCGGATAGAAGCTCCTGCCGGGGGCCTCGCTCCCTCGTCGGTAGGACGGTAGCACCAGCACGGTGGGCAAGCGCGTAGGCCGCTTATTTTCATTTTTATTTAATCTTTAACATTAAGTCTGAGTAAAACAAAACATCGCCTGGAATGTGTACGGCTTCGTCACGTCTCGGAAGCTAAGTAGGGTTGAGCTCGGCCCGTACCTTTGATGATGGGAGACCGATAATTCCAGGTGTTGTGGTCTTACAGTGAGGGATTATTACATCGATCTGTGCGGCGCTTTGAGTGTTATAACCTTGTACACGTGGTGGGGTTTCTCCGGTTTCTTTCCACAAGCCCAAACACCAATGGAATTGGCCAAACATCTCTATATAGCAGAACACTCAAATAGTATTTGAAACCTAGGCTTCCCCGGTTTAAATAAAGAACAGCGTTATTAATGCGTTTTCTCGTTTTTACGTGTTTGCAGGTTAAACAAGATTGTCTTTCTAATTAAGCTTGAATCGAAGATCAGGGAGAAGATTCATACGCTGCGCTCAACATGATGCCTGTGAGTATATTTCATATATATACATCTTCACGTTATCTAGGTGAGAACAGCCGTGTCGTCTCGTTTATAAAGCAAGCTTGGACCACGTTGCATACAACACTGTTGTAAATACCCTCATAGTTTTAATTGTAAATCTAAGCTTGGTCATAATGTCACTTGAGGTGTTTCTATTAACTTATGCAATCGGCCGCAAATTAATTCGGCTCTGTGGTTTGTTGCTTAAACCTGTTTTTAATGCGACGTTTCCATTTTGTAAAGCAAAATAGTAATTATGACGAACTAAGGAGAGATGTATTGGTGACTCGGGAGTCGTGATAACTTTTAGCTTAACTTTGGTGCATCTCATCTGGGGTATGCAATTTATAAATACACTGCAATACAGTATATCGAATGACTGACTAATGGCCAAAGCGTTCTTTTAGAATGCGAATGAGCACAGATTTGCGTTGGTAAACAGTTTCACATTGAAGTGACTACAAAAACACGTGTAGTTGTTTGCATCCTGATCCCATCTAATGGGTATGAAGTTGCAGGTGTGACATTTATTAACGAAATGACTCTTGCCATTTTTCTCCCGGTCCTCATCGCTAATTTTTTCTCTCCTTGGGCCATCATTAAAACCAGAAGCTCCCTCGTTCTGACATGAATGTGAAATTGTAGTTGTTTCTCTGCATCCTACACCAGCCATACGAAAGAAGAATTTTAAAAACTCCATATTCACAATAAATCCTTCACATTCTGGTTCACCACTTTGAACCATCTCCTTGAAGGGTTCCCCCTCTGCCCTGGTGCTGCCCATGTTAATGAATCGCTTTTTCCCTAATGAGATTTTCCCCTTTTCTTCAGACAAGTAAAAGCCACGTGTGAGTGTGCTTATTTCCCCCCTTGTCTGAGTGAGGTACCACTATTGCCTTCTCCATTGTCTCTTCATTTCTGATCCTGTCCAATATTGTGATCCCTGAGATCATCTCACCATTGTGCTCCCCCTGGACTTTAGAGGCCATTCTACAGAAAAAAAGACAAAGATCCCCTGTATACAGTAGCCTTAACAGAATGTAGGGGCAAATGCTGTTAGCGAGCACCTGTAAAGGCTGGCACGGCACACGAGGGGGTGGGTGGCCAACACCACGCCCGAACGCCTTTGTCTCCCTGGCGATGTTTACACATCGCACCAGGTACTCATTTGAGGCTGAGTTAACCTAGGGGAGGCCCAGGACCGGTTCAGATAATCGTCACCGGTGTTCACCGTGAGTGGGAATCGAACCTGGGTTGCAAGGTTCGTAGCGCGCTAACCACTACACTACCGCTCCCCACTCTACAGCACATGATGTCACTTGCATAATTTGAATATCATATGTTATTGGCCTCGGTTGAAGTGATACTAAATATGTTAAACGCATCCAGTCCTTAAATGACATGTACAAGGCAGCATTGGATGTTGTGTAAATATTTACCTCGAGGGTAACACAATATGACCGAGGCGGCAACATTAGATCATTGCTGTGGCTTTACAAAGGATTCTCCTGGCATAATTATAATATAATTCGCAGCCCTTTGTCAATTCACCGCTGGATGAAGGCTTTCTCACAACTGTCGGCTATTGCGGTCATTTGACCATACTTCACCATGCTAGTCGGCAAAGGTTGGTGGGAGGGAAGGCAAGGCAGGATGGTTCAGAGATGACTCGCCACTGATGGTAGCCATGGCTGGGAATCAAACTCGGTTTGTTGGCATCATGGAGTAGTGCACGGACTAGTATGTTACTGCTCCACCCATCTGATTGGCATTCTACAATGCAAATTGGTGCTTTACGTCTTTGTGCTCATTTTTCGACGTAATGATTTCCCCTGCATTGAGACACTTTAGGGAACTCACACAGTTATAGACAGTGAGTCAGATGTCACACATGAGTCTTTAGCAGTGCTATTTTTGTCGATGTAACATGCGCTCGGGAGTGACCGACCTTTATAAATATGTCCAGTACTTTACTCGGTACAGTTGCTCACAGAACGTGGGTATCGTGCATCGTAACAACCGCAGGATTGTTTAAACATTGTAATGGGCCCGAGTTCACAAACAAATAAGGTCAGTGTCCCAGGTTTATTAAGATATACCGTACATGTATAAATGCTACTTTTGATATTTGTTACTGCATTATTCATGAAAAAATAATGGGATATACCCTCATTTAGATTGTTGTTTATACATCTGATACTTATCAATATACTCTTTGGTTTTTTCGGTAAAGTCACGTAGATAAAAAAAGAAAATAAATGAAATCACGACGTTTCGAAAAAGAAAATAAATTTGATCACGACGTTTCGAAACGTCGTGAATTTTTATTTTTTTACCGACGTGACTACTGAAAAAACAAATGAGTATGGACCCTTGCAGTCACGAAAACTTCAAATCTAGAATTATCAATATGTTATGCTTAAAACTCAAGTATTGATTGCTTTAGTGTAAGTACGACATATACGTGGCATTTTAAAAGTAAAATCCCCTTGCACGAGGTACGATAGCCAAATTCAGAATCACACTTGTTTTTAAGCGATTGTTGTTGTGGGCATAATTATTATTGTGATCTGTGCAGACGATAGCGCGTGTGTGTGTGTGTGCTTATTGTAGTGGAGAAGAATGTGTACAGTCGTGGAACATGAACCTTTGTAACTCTGGGAGATAGGTGATAAGGAAATTCTGTGCTCTGCTGACTTTATCTTTGAGCCGTGCCTGTGACTCTTCACTTGTGCTACGTTTATTCATTCAAGCATTCAAACTTGTGCGCGACTTGTTGCCGTATCTTGGCATCATTCCACCTTGTCGTTTATGTTTATGCACTAAAATGTGTAAAATGTAAGGTGTACTCATCAGTCATGTGTTATGAATGTGGGTTTGTGTTTGTTGTCTTGTTTGGCATGCTTGTTTGCAACAAGATAATAGTGTCCTTCTGGTCTTGTGGGGCACACAAACAAAATGATTGTGCGTTTAAATCACAGAACCTCTCAAGATTTGAACCACGAGATGGCTTGCTGTTTAAAACCAAGCTTTGGAGCCCGTAAAGCAGTCAGGTTTGACACGTGGAGTACTTTTTCAGGTTTTTTTTTCGTGATGGATTGGCAGTGTTTGTGGTAGGCACAGCCCAGAGATTTGGGTAAGAGGGAAGATAGCGTAAACACATTCCTGCACTTTATAAAAATGCATCTTGATAAAGTGTCATTATATTGTTATCAGGCCTTTCAAAGCTAATTCCGTAGGCACGCATATACAGTACAATGTGGTGTGTGGAAGAGATTGTTCTATTTTCTTAAGAACAGGCCTCTACCATTTGATGCACAAAGTGCAGATAAGTACATAGTTTGACCTATAGCTTGCTGACGATATGCGTTGACCATATTTCTTTAGAAATTGTATTTATCCACAATTTTATCCCATCTGCTCTATTGGCGTCATGGCACGAGATGAAGTATCCATTCGAATCTCTCGCATAGTAGTGCAACACTTTCGTGGTATAAAATGTCCCATGGAAGTAGATATAAACGATAAACTAAACTATTATTTTACCAGGTAAGGCCCACTGAACTATATAGCTCTTTTTCAGAAGCGACCTGGCCACAAATAATAGCTCAACGAAATGGCTTATGTGGAAATTTATAGCGGCCAAATACTCCTAAACACGTGATGTTGATTCTAAATGTGGAGGGAAAAACCAGAGGACCCGGATAAAAATCCACGTGTCCACAGGGAGAACATGCAAACTCCAAATATATAAGTGTCTGGTCGGGATCGAACCCACGACCTCCTGTTTACCAGGCGAGGTAGTAAACATCTGACCACTGTGGCGCCTCATTGAGTTAGTACTACATTTGAGATCCCCCTTCCAGAGACCTGTTCCACACAGTAGAGGGCAGAATTTTTCCACCCGTTCTGCCATATGAGAGAAATGTTCGCTCCACGACAGGCAAACCTCTCGTTGAATTATTAAAGCTGTTATTTAGCTAAATTAATTGTAGAACGAAACTGCATTGAACGTGAAGGGCTTTTTATGCAGTCATTCGTAACTGGGTTGAGACATCTATCCCAGTTAAATCACAGACGGCCGCCTGAATTCGAACCCAGAATCTCAGCAGTGCCAGCTCCGTGCCCTAACCTCTGAGCCGTTTGACCACTTCTCGTTAACTATGCCTATATGATAAACCACATTCCTTCATGTGTTTTTATATTATGAACGGTGAATAAGGGTATTTGGTAACATTAAATTGTAAAAGAGTAAGCCGGGTACAAGGCCTGACTATGGAACCTTGTGAAGTTGATATGGAATGAAATGTATTTATTATTATTTTATTATTTCCCTTCTACGTGACTTTACCGAAAGATCCAATAATTTGATATGGAATATTATAACAATGTTAGGTATGTCACTGTGGGACATTCACTCTTGAGGTAATGTCAGTACTGGTGACTTGCCTGTGATTCATCCCACCCACATAGCAGTAAAGGTCTACACAAGTCTACAATTACATTATATATCATGTCGATTGTCTTGTTGGTATCATGCTTTTAAACAAATTTGGTTGAAGAGCATGAAAAATATAAAAGTTGGAAATTATTACGCATACACAGGACAATGTTTACTCATTTTATTGGCATCCATTTGCTTTTGCCTTCGCAGAGCGTAAAGTAAAATGTCCTGTTTGGCAACATAATTGAAGGAGGGAAAAACTCCGAAACAGGCAGTTGCCACATTTACTGTCGCTAACACCAGTGCACCTCATAATGCTTTCAAAAGCAACCATCACTTTAAAACGTAATACATCAGGAATTCATTTAGCTGTTTTACATAGCATCAATAGGTTGCACAAAAAATACAAATCTGGATAAAAATTGTACAATTCTGATCTCAAATTATTAACGGAGTTGTCTCTAGCGACATTTCCGAAAGCTCTTGTTGACGGGCAATATTTTGCCCTTGTTTATCTGTTATTTCAGAGACAAGTCCATGGTGCTGGGGTGCTGAACTGTTGGTCTTTATCCTTCACGCTCGGGGTCTAATCCTGTGGTCATTAAAATGCGGCTCGTGGAATTTGTTCTTGCTCCTCTGCCCTGTTATCTCTCTGATTGGCATAATTGCCGCTGACGGCCGTGGCATGCCATGCGCCAGTGTGAAATCCCTTTGACGTGACGTGAAGTTTTGACACCTGTCGCACGCTACTAGCTGTTCTTGATTGTCCTTTAGTAATGCCGTGGCTTCAACAAACCCTCTGGAATGTGACACCATATTATCTGATAGCGGGCGCCAGGCACACACTCACTACAAAAATGCTGGGGTATGAATACTTCCAACCGGTAGTGTAAATCAAAATATGCAGGCAGACACCGGGCTTGAAGTGTTAACCCGTGGCTCTAAATAGTGAGTCTTTGTTAGACTTAAGAAACCAATGAAATCGTTCACTCGTTGCATAATGTAGGACATTGTTTGACTTGAACTGGTTATTCACTGAAGTATTTTAATCCTAAGATCAATTTGACAATGTGAGGAATGTACATTCTTTTTTGTCTCTTGGACTCTTGGTTTAACAGTTACTTTTAGTCGCACACTGTACATACAATGTCTAACATGTGCTTTGACACACATGCAGTTTCCACAAGCCCTTCCCGTGCACAAGCTCAAAGCGTGTTTTTTGAAAAACAAGTTTTTTTTTACCCCTTAAGCAAAATTTCCAGGCACTGTGGTAACAGTGCAACTTGAAACTTCTCTGTGGGTGTGGTATGAGATATAGTGGTGGTCATGCCTTTGAAAATATTGTGACTTTTTAAATGCATTGTTGTACGTTTTCTGTTCCATACAAGATCGATTGATGGATCATGTTTTCTTAAATTAGTGTGGCCCAAAACGACCTATCGGTTCTTTTATTTAAGCAACTGTGGCAGTTGTACAAATCAAAACTCTTCACTGTACATAACCTGCAATGTCCTAACTATGGTCGCGTGCCTGTCACAGCATCTGTTGTGACTCAACTCATGCTCGAATGATGAATGCGACAGTCAGCTGCTATTCAACCACTTTTTAATGTTTTAATATTAAGCGGCATCGTTTTGAGCTCATATATATATTTTGGACAGCCTTGCTGCAATCCGCACGATGTCCACATTTGAGTAACATCGCTTGTTTGCCGCCGGTGTTCAGGTGATCCTGACGGTGCTGCTGAGCGAGGGAGACCAGCAGGGTATCGAGGTGCCGGTCACGCCGGAGACCTGCTGCAGGGATGTCGTGGACTTCTGCAAGGAGCCCGGAGAACTGCACTGCCACCTAGCGCAGCTGTGGCGAGGAGATGGTGCGGAAATTAAACGTGATGTGTATTTAAAAAAAAACGTTCAGGAAATCATGTACTGCTGTCCAAGACGGGTTTGTCATTGGAAGTATATCAGTTTTCGGTCTGGAAACCGACAGTAGCTCTAAGAGGAAACACCTATACATACACGAGTTTTCCAGAAAGCTTATCCTATTCGCAAAGAGGATAAAAATGTGTACAGCCTTAATTGTTTCTCTCAAATGAATGCATATAGGATGGAGTGAATACGTACCCAATTGAAACAAGCTGCAAGTGACAAATTCTATTCAATTATAGGCCTTTCTAATCCGAACACTACTTTAAATTCGCATTACAGCACATGACGTTATTTTATTTTGGAAAATGGAAAGTTATGTAACTTAAAGGAATACATTTTCATACCAATAAGCAGTTATTTCTTCTCATCAATGTGAACCCAGTAACATTCTTAGACATGTATAGATACAAAATGTGTTATTGCAATTGTTTCATTCATTTTGTGTGAGCAGCAATTTTTTTTATATATTTATAAAGTATTCCTTTGAAATGTATTATTAACATCTGCATCTTCTTTTCACTATCACAGATAATGCTGGCAACATGGGCTTTTATCTAAAAGCTATTGAAATACGTCATATTGGATATTTATGTACAAATATTATATCAGCAATACATTTGTATGGAAGAAGATTTTCTAAATTTCTGAAAATACGAAACAAGGCAATAGTTACTTTAAAGAAAATATCGTATAAAAAAATAATGGGAAGAACTGTGCGTAGGTTTTTGCGGTCGTGCTGTGTAGCCCTCCGATGTTTTTTTCTCCGGTTGGACCATGTGTTGTTTGGCTTCTTCAGTTCCTGAAGATGCTCCCAGTATGTAGATCGAAACGTCGGACAACACACAGTACGACCCAAAACCACATCGGACAGCAATAAACCAAATGTACCTTAGGCCGGAAGATTACATAATTTCTCTCCAATAACCTAATAAACACCTTTCTTATCTAAATAACGATTTTTACGATGCACCGTATAATGCATACGCATGTGATGCAATCTAATTCCATGCGTAAATAATGGATGTTCACACGCGCATTTGTTTTTGTGTGCTTGTGTGTAAAATCACAGAGCGTTCCCTGCCAGCACAGGATATGATTTATGATATCCTGCAGCAGTGGGGGGCCCGCCGGGACGAGGTTAAATTCTACTTGCGGCACGATGACCCACCCACCGTCGACAGAGACCCAGGTGAGTGTCCAGGCGGTCGCCACCGGTGGTGTACGTTTGTGCCCGTGGGCAATCCCCGGTGTGTTATCTCGTACACGCTAGCCCGCCCACCAACCCACCCACCCGGCTATCCGATGATGGGCGTGCGTGCGTATGTGCGTGCTTGCGTGCGTGTGGGATGTGCTACGGCATGCCGTCAGTCGTGGAATGCTGTCGAGTGGGCCAAGGCAAGTCCCAGCCTGACGTGCAGCACAACAGCGAGGAATATTGAATGCGTGCATGCGGTTTGCGAAGTTTGCATGGAGCGAGTGATGATTTTTTGTTTTAGTAATGGTATTATTAATCACCTGTAACCAAATCGCCCAGAATGCACCCGATCTAGACAGGTCTCGGAAGCTAAAGCACGGTTTAGCCTGCATTGTGCTTGGAACGGTGGTCGCCCATCCGAGTATGTACAGGAATGCTGAAAATGTGTTAGGTTGGAAGAATAACCATTGAAGACAGTGTTACAAAGAGCAAAGCGAAGTTGTGAACTTGTAAAGGTTATGGTGATAACGAAGGAAACTTTTTGGAACGTGAGACGAGAGCTTGGCGAATAAGTTGCATTATCTTCTTGGTTCTTTCGGTAAAGTCACGTAGAAGGGAAGTAATAAAATAATACAAATTAAACATAATACAATAATTTTCACGACGTTTCGGCCACAACGCAAGCAGCCGTCCTCAGGTGAAGAATGAAACACCAAGCTACGTGACTTTACCGAAAGAACCACGAAGATGAATCCCTGCAGTCACGAAAGCTTTAAATCGAAATTTAAGTTGCATTATCTGTCAGACTGAAGGTCGAGATCAAAGGAAGACAGAAAAGTGAGTAATCAACATTGAAGTGGTTTTGTTTACAAGGGCAGGAAGAGTGTGGCGTGTTACAAGGGACAGAAAAAGACGGGGATCAATCACTGTCGACCACCAGATTTGGGGGTGACACGTGACTATAACGATTCGTCCTTCGATTCATCAGCGAAGCGTCAATGAGTCTCAAGACTGTTTTTCAGTTGTGTTTTGCACAGACCCAGGAATCTATTACAATTGTGGTTTTTGATGTGCATCATGAAATGTAACCACAATGTAATTGCAATTTCAGCTACCAATCCTATCATGTCTGTAATTATGTATGGCACCAGGTTTATTTTCCTTTGGGTTCTTGGCCAATTCCTTATTCAGCAAATTAAAATATGAATAATTAAACGAAGGGTTCCTACTGCATTTCCTTAAAATCGTTTTAGTCGCTATTAACATGAATACATTCGACATAACAGTTGGTTTACGGATTCATTTTCATAGCGTTTTTACACTTCATTATGCTGCATTAAGAATGTCTGCTATTATGCTAAGTTTAAGCACATTTTAGTGTGGACAATTGTATATATATTTTTTTCAAATCCACAGAGTAATGTTAACGATAACCTTACTTGTCGATTCAAATATTTTTAAACCAAATATGCATTCATCAAATCGTTTATGTAAGATTCCATAATTAATGATTTATGCAAATCGTATAGAAATGTTAATATGTAGGCTCGAAAATGAACCAACATGATAAGATAGTACAAATGAAATAGTACAAATGAGGCAAACAATACCACGAAGGCACAAAACATCTATTCTTGATAACACAACAATGCTTGATAACGCAACAGCTTAACGTCTTGAAGGTAATGGCTGAATTTAGAGAAGGTGAATTAGTTGGATGAAGAAAGGGGAGCGTAATGGGGAAAATGTGGATTGTCAAGCGTTTGAAACCAGCTTTGGTCTAATGTCGGTCATGGACCTCCCATTTTGATTCTAGATTTGAAGCTTTCGTGACTGCAAGGATTCATATTCTTAGGTTTTTTCGGTAAAGTCACGTAGGTAAAAAACATTAAAAAGTAAAATAAAATAAAAATCACGACGTTTCGGAAGCTTGTGTTGCCTCCGAAACGTCGTGATTTTTATTTTATTTTACTTCTTAATGTTTTTTACCTACGTGACTCCCATTTTGAGTGTGCACCTCCTCACCTCGAGCATCGTATGTATGCGGGGAGAGCTTCTTTCGCACCGTACGTAGCCAACTGTGCATGTCATTATGGAGTTGGGATTTGTTTGGAGCTTTTGTTCGCCAGTAAATGAAATCTGTAATTATGAGAGAACCCATTGCTCCTGAAAACATAATGCAGACTGGAAAACAAATAGGCTTGGCAACGCACAAAGATGTGTGGATTGCGTGTAAAATAGCCGAGCCTTGTTTTGCCTGTTAAGATGTACACATTTTCTAAATGACAAAATGACTACACATTTCAGTCTTTTTGAGTTTGTGGTCTGAATAACTTCTAGGTGTGTTGTGAAATCTAATATTTTTCGTTATCTTCCCACATCTCAAATGTGAAAAACCTCAAACCGTCCACTTGAGCAAATATCTCTCACATCCGTAAAGTCGTTACCCTAGCTGCTGCTGACACCCTCATCTATACTTTAATCATATTCTGACTCGACGATTGCATATCTCTCCCAAATCCCTCATCACCAAACTCCAGATGATCCAAAATATCACCGCCAAACTCCTGACCCACACCCGTATCTACCCGTAAACAAGACATCACCCCAATGCTCCAATCATTCCACTGGCATTCAATCTGAGATCAATTTCACGATCACCATCTTCAAGATCCTCTCGACTGGAACCCTGCCTTCCTTTTCACCCTCATCTAACTCTTCCCTCCTCCACGCGCGGTTTGTTACAGCAAAAAAATGCAAAGCCTCCCAGTCCAACATTCGCTCGGTGGGAGATCGCCAATTCTGCTTTGCTGCCCCACTGGTCTGGAACTTCCTTCCTCCGGCCTTCCTTGATGTTGACTCTGCCCCTGTTGAACTCCAGGCTCAAGGCTGTCCTTTTCACCCCGGCCTGTGACTGTCTGCCTGTATAACATATATATGCGCACTGTCGCCGTACAGCATGTCGAGGAGAGATTGCATTTATATTCCATATAGATACACTTCGTATAGTAATTGTATTGTGTCATTTATATGTGGGGTTTCAAGTTTTTCCAGGGCCAGGGGCTGGGTGGCCACTGGGGGTGGGGTGGTTTTAGGAGGAGAGATGAATCTGTACATGTTCACAATCAGACACTCATGGTACCAGTTTATTGTTCTTTGTTGGAAGATATTTAATCAAACGGCAATGGTCACGTCAAAATTGACAGGAGACAGCGGGGATGGCCTTACATGGCTTGGCTGTAGTGGGCACCTCTGCATGCGGTTTCACCATGAGCGTCTGCCTTGTAATATTTGGTTGGGGCTGAACACTATGCTGCATTGTGGGGAGATGAGGCTGCCGTCTGAGAATGTAAAACTTCTGACATTGGCCATTCATCCGAAGAGAGTTAAACAAATCCTATCACACATTTGTGGGTTTTCTATAGCCCACGGTGAAGTTTCATTATGTTTATATATTACTCTTGAGTTTGTGAGTGATATATATACACACTCAGTGTGTGGTGTCGGTCTTAATGGCAGTCTGCTCGAAAATAACCGGGCTGAATTTTCAGCGCACAAAATAAAGATACGTGGTAAAAGCTGCCTCTTCAGTGGTGCATTTGTACAGTTTTGTTTTGTGACCAAGTAGCCAATGGATATACACCTTGTAGGGACATCTCTTTGTTTTTGGAAACTGGAGTATCTTTGAGCTTGCTTGGCTTGACTGTATCGTAACATCTAGTACTGGGCGTGGTGAATAACAACAGTGTTTGAGAGGAGGAAGCGGGCTATAGAAGCCGACTTCATATGCGTGCCATCGTTCTGCATCACGCATTTTTACACCTATGTTTATGTCCGGGCTACTGTGAAAGATGGATAACAAGTTGGCATGCATGGATTATGTATTTTTTACTTTCAAAGGGTGTATGTTCATTAAGAACTATGCATTTGATGCGATACATTATATGTGGTACGATGCATCAATTCAACGTTGAATATAGATATTTTTTAAACTCGCGATGCTTCCTTGCATCAAGACGCGCGTGTGTAAGAATCGATGTTATACATTTCGTATGCAGTTGCATGTAATGTGTTCGCGTTACCTCTGCAGCCACTTGGCACAATCATTTTACCCCTGTTAACAAAAAATCGAATCGCGATAGATATAATTAATCACATCTCCAGGCACTGATTCATTCCACTCCTATGTATGCACGTATGTTGAACATCTTTCGCACCGTACGTAGATAGCCGTACCAATCCTGAGGTGCGGGATTACAATTAATAATGCTCCGTGAATATATTACAAGTTAGACTTGGCTTTTAAATTTAACACAACACTCGAATTTTATTTATTGGAAATTACAATAGAACAGCGAGCTAATGCATAACTTGTGCCATGCGTTGTACCATTCATGCCTGCGTCGGCCAGCAAAAACACTTACGAAGAAGTTAGGCTGCAGCTCGCAATAGCTTGTGCCGGTTTAGGTAGCCAGAGGGCCTCCAGCTAGTAGTGTACTCTCGTACACGTGCTGTGGCTGTACTGTACCCATGTGTTGACCCTATCTTCAAGCGCACGCAACCTAGCTCATGTTTGCACAAGCGGTCTGGCAAGCCGAAGCGCACAGCTTATAAGCTATAGTAATAATAATTACTCTAAGGGGGGGGGTGGGGATGTAAGAGAATATTTTATATTTTTTGACAATGCTATATGTTGGAGTATCTAGCACAAATCACAAGAATGTTTTAATCTGGATCCTGAATACGTTTGTCATTTTCTATATTTACAAGAACTCTGCAGGCGGTGGTTTGGGAGTTCAGTCTTAGGTTGTGTAAGTCACTGCCAAGCACCGCTTTGTCAGTGGAATTATACATTCGACAGGAATGCTTTACGGAATGAGCCTTTCGCAAGCATTGAGGCTGTGTGGTTCATAGGGAATGGCACACAGGACACTGATTACAAGATACGCAAAGTAAAACGTGATCAATTGGCAATACAGTACAGAATAAGATGGATATGGGCACATCTAACCTAAGCACAGTTCTGATATAACAAACACATCTCTACATTATACTGGTGGGGGGTAGTCAAAGGGCAACTTCTGATACAATCGCACTAATAAAATAAGCGCACCTTGCCTTGATCCCAGGGGTGTGTTTACATGTATCTTCTATTGTATTATTGAAATTGAGTATGCACCCATATTGTGCAGCTTTGGTGGTTAAGTGCATTTCACACAATCTGCCCAGTATATTAATCGTCTGCTCCGCCACTGCAGTGAGCCGGCCTTCATATTTCATGGTATGTGTCAGGGGTGTGCAAAACAGATACTGTGTTATGGATTGTGCAGAGTGCTATTCCATCATTCGGTTTAATGTATAGCACAACTGAGATTACGTGCGACCTTAAGAAATGCCAAGCCATTTTATTTTGCCACACGTGAACTTGAATTTTGAGTCTTGCAGTTTGGTTGTCAAGGTATGCCTGTGTTCGGAAGGTAGGCGGCGCACGAGAATGCATATTTACTGTTTGTGTTTGAGATGTGCGGATTTTCACGGGAGGGTCTCGAGGCAAGCAGCAGACCGAAGAGAAATTCCTCTTGTGGGAGACAAAGTGATTTTAATTTCAAGTCTTGTTGTGCATTCGAAGGACGATTTGTTGCAATGCTGAGTATTTGAAATTCAGCCTCTTTTTTTTTTCATTTTACATGCTGTTCAGTTTGTATCTGCGAAATGTAACCTTTGCTTAAAATTTGTTTAAAAAGCCATCTAAAAATTATGCAACGGTAACAATGTTTTCTTGCAACACGACCAGTCTGCGGTTTTTATAAGCATACTAAAAGATTGTGTGCAAGACAAAATTGAACGAATAAAGCTGTTTTAAGGCTTTAATGTGGGCATTTGGATAATTGCTGCCTTGCTTCTGTTGCTGGCATGGAGCGGGCCAGAAATCTGTAAAGGCATGTGCTGGCCTACGCACAGGATATGTGTGTGTGGGTTGTGTTTAAATGGGCCCAGCTCCATGAAAATGAACAACAAAAAAGTGTCGGGGATTTTTTTTTTTAAATCAAGTAACCGCGCAAGAGCGAGGTGGCTGACGCTCTCTCCCCTTTGAACCCAGGTGGACACGGAGGCCGGGGCACGATGCTGAGACGTGGCATTGGTGGTGGCCCTCCTGACAATCGGGTGAGACATTGCATATTGCCAACTACACACAAGAATGCCTGAGCTTTACTCTTTTGGCCACGATAACAAATGTTGGTATGCGGAATGGAATTTTACAGTAGCTCGGCCAATTAAATGGAAAACACGTTGGCATTCGCACACAGCAAGGCCGCTGCAAGTTAGTTTCCTTTGTGTTTTTTTTCTTCTTCGTTGGGCTCCCCATCTTTTGTGGGAGCATTTGAAAAACCATGGTGCTCTATTGTTAACTCAAATGGCACGATGCTGGCATAAGGTATGCGCCGTAGCTGTTCTTGTGCCCGTAACTTTTCTTGTGCCCGAACGCGCAGCAACATTCCACCAGGCCAAAGGGGCTGGAGTGGTGTGGTGGAAGAGTGACCTCACCTCGAACGCTTTCCTACCCCGCCTCCTCCCCCCTTATGTAAAAGGCGCGCCCCGTCCACAGCATGTGCGACAGTGCAGGTGCATATTTGATCTGCGCTTGGCACAAATTGTTTCAAGAGCGTAATCTGGGAAAGCCATGCGTGAAATTAAGAAATATGCTGCACCCTCTCACTGTTGCCATCGAAAACAGTGCACTCCATGTGTCTGCTGTGCAGTTGCTTAATATCAAAGCCCACCTGTTATGCGTTATTCCTTGTTTACCACATGCGCTGCTGCGTCCTTGGCCATCTGTTACAATTTAGTAACAGCAGGCATGCATTTTAGCGTGTGCTCTTCTCAAAGTAGTTTTTTAGTTTATGCGTTTCTCTTCATCTTGCCAACCACTAAGTACCAGTGGGGTATCTAAGGATAATTAAATGAGAGGTTGGACGTGGGGGCAAGCAAGAATGTTGCCACCATGGGCGATGTGGGCCGTCGAAGCAGGAGAACCATAATAACATAGCTCGTATTTGATGAAAAGGGGGGGTACCTGCATGGGTGACTCGATAAAACAGTTCCTGCATGCGAATATGCAATAAATATTGCCGGGTGAGCAATGTGCGTTCAACCCCTCGGCCTTGTGGCGTTATATTTTTTGTTGTTGTTGACCGACCACAGATGGGGACTCACTTGGCTGACCAGTTTAATAAATGGGTGCGCGCTGAAGCCTGGCTGTTTACCCGGTATCAGCTTTCCTCCTGCGCAGAGAGAGAGAGAGAGCGAGCCACAGTAACGTTCGATAACATCGCTGTGTACGTGTGGATAGTGCGCAACAACAGCAGCAACTTTGGGCGTGTTGACCGTGACGGCATTTAAATCGCGTAAATCTAATTAGTTTTGTGATGGTAGTGGTGGTACACAAGCCAATATCACCAGTGGTCTTTTTTTTTTTACCAGCAAGCCCGTGACCTTTTTGTGTTATTCTGGGCTGTGTGGCGGATAGCTTTCAGGATGGACACCTGCAGCGTGATGTGTGTGGTGGATTTAGTCGGCTTGGCGAGCGCCTGTTCTGGTTTCGCAGGGTAGGTGACCTGTGAAAAACTCGCCTGCCAGCAGCTTTAACCTGCTTATCACGTGCATTGGCTTAAAGCTTTTCCACTCCACGTCTGGGACACTGTGTGCTCTCGTGTTGTGCGCTTCACGGGTGCAAGAGACGTTGTCAATGGCCCCTCTATAGCGCTGATTACTAGGTTTTAAATTGTGCTCGCACGTTTTGAGTGTTTTTAATACAATGTTTGGGGACGACCTTGTTAAATTTGCTTTCATCCGTCCGTTAGTTCTTGTTTAAAAAATATAAAGCACAAAATAATAGAAATAAAAATAAATTGTATTGAGAATCCACCTGACGTTTTTTAGTTAACAGGGTAAATGGCACAAACTGAAAAATCCTGCCACATCTCATGATGTGCTGGCAGTCCGCTTGTACCGTCATGGCAATATTTATTCTCTTTGATTAAACTACAATTGGAAGATAATTCTTTGAAAATGAATACTGACATCATCAGTACCATGATGTCACATGCTGTGGGATTTAAAACCTTAGTCTGACGAGAGTGAGGTCATCTGGACGCTTGGCAGTTGATGTACATTTTGCAGACCGTTCTAGCAGCGTTTGTTTCCCCAATTATGTGGTCACTTATGGAGGCCTGTTTTGCAAGTCATTAACTGTCACTTACGCTGTTCAAATACCAACTGAAACCTTCTTGCTTCTGTGTTTTGGAGTAGAATCCAGCCTCTAATGCTTACTTGTTAATTGGTTATAGTCGTTTTGCGTATGTTTGGTCATGTTAAGGATTGCGGTATTATTTGTGTGTAGCATTGCAGTGGTAAAGATATTAAATGGAAGCATTCCTAACTGCGGAACAGCTTGAGCAAGATTTTCCGGGCGGTGGACATGGATTTATTTATTTTATTCCGTGTTACGCAAGTTAAACCCTGCATTTGGTTGCTCCAATGTAAGTCACCTTCGAAAAAGATGTTCTCAAAAAAATGTGGAAAAACTTCCTGCATTTTACAAGTTCATAAAAGAGCAACTTATTGCTGTGAATGCATAAGAATATTTCAGTCACTGCAGCTTATGTGGCATATTCTTCAGTAGACGAAACGTTACTTTGAAGAGTCTGGTGAATTCCTGAGTTGGGGAAAAATCAGCTTTTGTGTTATAAACACTTGGCCTTGAGTCTATTCAGCCCCATTTTTTCCCAGCACTCCCCGAGACAACAAAGAGTTGTTTTATTTTGACTTTATCATTCCTGCAAGTTTTGGCAGGCTCTGTATTTTGGGCAACTACATGTAACAACATGAAAAAATATATATCTATTTATTGCATTTGCATTATGTTTGCATGTGTTCTGTGTACCTACTGTACGTATACATGTATAATTTTTTACATGTTATATATGGTCAATGACTCACTAAATTGCCGACCTTGTCAGACCTCGGTAGCTAAGTTGGGTTGAGTCTCTGCATAGGACTTGAACAGGTGACCACCATGTTGTATCTCCACAGGGAATGTCACGTGGTGGGCAGTGCAGCAAAATCAACTGTTGTACGATGCTTCTATGCTCCCACATTTATGCTTCCCGCATTCCCCAACTTGATCCTCATTCAGCAGTGGACTTATACATTAAATATACGTGCTTCAAGTATTTTATGTTTGTGTCTAAGTGTTTGTTCTACACGCTGTCTTGCCAATGCTTTAAAATATATGCCCACGTTTCGTAAGACCAAGCACCTGGAGTTGCGTATAAGTGCTTGGCGAGTGGCTACGTTTATTTCTGTGCAGGATCGTCTGGCTTATCTTCCGTTCCTCCATCCAGTGTTTACCAATGTGAGCCACATAGCTTTTCCATCCTGACGGGGCAAGACACACGCCAGGGCAGGCGGCACCCTCCATGTAGGGGAGTGATTTGTTTAGCGGGGCTCGGGCGTGGTGCATCTATGACGCATTGGGAGGGGGGGCGGGCAGGGGCAGACCCTGCCCCTCTGCAAGTGTCTACTCGCGACAAAGTGTTCCGCTCTTTTGCCAAGTTTCACATCTGCCCACAAGGAACGCTCGCCCATCGTCGGGTCGGATCGCTTGGGCGTCGAGTTGTGAGTTCTGGTCACTCGCCGTCGGTTTGACAGCCCTCGGACCCACCTGGCCACGTCCTGGACGTTTATTGCTGCCTACGCAGCGTGAAGCGCTAGGTTTATGTGGCGACGAAAATAGTTGTGCAAGCCTTGCGGCGGCTCCGACCGTGATGCGCGCAATGGATAATGCGTCCGATTCCGATTTGAAGGTAATTCCTCCACTGTCTTTCGAAGGGTATGTTGAGCACGACGTATCGATAAGTCTGACCTATAAAGTGTGAACATGCGCTGTGACTTACACGATTTATTGCACTGATTTTTGTTATGTATTAAGTTTTAAACTAAAAAAAAAATTGGCCATGTGGGCTTGTTACTATGCCAGACCTCCTGTTAAGTACCGTACAATACATGTGTAAAAAAAAAAGTAAAACTCTGTTGGGCGGGGGCTGGCTTTTGTAAACCCGATCGTTTGTCCAAGAAAGTGTGAACAAGTTACCTTGATGTTGTTCAGATATTTTCCAGTGATTCTTTTCCACTGGAAAATATCTGAATGTGTACACACAGATGCCTGAAGCGGCAACATACAAGTGTGTTTGTTCACCACATTAGCTCGGCCATTACTGCCCTGTAGCCTGGAGACACCCGCTGCCCCCCCCCCCCCGCTCGACGCTATTGAGCTGCCCGTATGGTGGGGAGAGAGAGAGTAAGAGAGTGCAAGCCAGGGTGTGCGGATTGATCGGTGCCGCGGGCATGGTCTGACATTCTGTGCAGAGAAAGGGTTGTTTGTGGCATATAAACAATTGGTGCAAACCCTCCTAACTTAATTTCCAGCCCCCTCGCCAGAAGTTCGGTTGGGGGGGGGGGGATGCAGTTCTACGAGGCCACCAATCCATGCCGGTGCCGTGCTCAATTGAGATACCGCGTTGATGCTTTCTCTCTTAGCAAAATTTTGCCGTGCGCCCATATCTGCTTTTGCTTGAGGCCTACTTACCACCCATCTCTGAAGTATATGTTAAGTGCTTTTCCCCTTATATTGCGTCCTTTTTTTGATTATTGCACTTTTTTTCACCCCAATCCACAAGTGGAACAGCCAGAAATGTTGCCTTAATCGATCCCTTGGCTCTTGGCCACTTGGCCTGCCATGGCCCCGCTTGAGGCCAGAAATTCCACAGGGCAGAGCGTGCGTTTATGTTGCCGGGATAAAAGCGAGGCGCCATAGGGTGTGCGATGTAGAGGGCACTGCCAGCTGTGGCACACGATGCGGTGTGCTGAGGAGCGGCGGCTGATGGTGCACGACTGTGAGCAGGGAACTCTAGTTTACTGGCTTTCCATCGACATTACTCGTCAGCAGGTAACTTGCATCCAAACCTGCTCACCCCTCGCCTCCCAGTGACTAAAATGTATGGAGATGTATGCTTTCTTTCAATGTGTAGCTGACCAGTGTTTAACGTAGACTGTCATGTAACCAGATGTACAACATGATACCAAGGCATGTATCTGTGGTGTTCTGTTTTATGATAATGCTGGGATTTTTTAAACATTCTCATAAGCCTGTGGTTTAGCGCACAGCGCAATGAACCCAACGACCCGAGTTTGTTTCCCAGCCACTCCTAACTTTGGTGGTGATATCTGAACCGGTCCTGGCCCCCACCCCCTTTACCAACCCGAATTGAAAAGTATGCTAAAGTATGGTGAAACGTCTCATGACAGACATGGAATGGGGAGGAATTCAGCAGTGGGTTGACAAAAGATGTCAAATGAAGGTGTGTGATGGAAAAAAAGTGTGGAAAATAGCATGGTCCACTCTAAAACATGCGACTGCACTGTCAAAGTGTATTTTGTTGGCAGACTTGAACGTTTTTAGGCCTACTCGTTTATTTTAATCCTATTATTTTAGCATTTAGGACAATCGGCTGTCATTTCATGCGGGCTTAGGAACTCAAAGCTCCTAACGGGGTCCCTGCCCAGGCGTGTTTTGTTTTAAATGCTGCCATTTGCCCACTGACTACACAATTCTGGTGAAAGATTAGGGTTCGGGGGTTTGAATTGGTCTTTGGAAACATTGCTCTTTGGTTCTTTCGGTAAAGTCACGTATAAAGATAAAGTAATAAATTAAATACTAGCATACGACGTTTCGATTGCAACACAAGCAATCATCATCAGGTATAAATGAAATAGAAACACAAATCTAGTATACTTAGAAATGTAATTTAATAGAACAGAGTCGGATAACATAACAGTCAACACCCTACCTGGTTGATTACGTTCTTCCTGAGAATGCAAAATTTGAGAGAGAGATAAAACACAGAACCAGCGACATGTAGACAGACATATAAGCAGACAGATATCACAGAGATACATAGAGAGAGAGAACAAACATAGGCACACAGAGAAACCACGCCTCCGTGTCGTGACTTTACCGAAAGAACCAAAGAGTAATTCCTGCAGTCACGAAAGCTCCAAATTCAGTTTGGAAACATTGCCTTGCATAGCCTTCTCTGCCCGTCTCCAGGGGACCGTCGAAGGATTGTAGCAGCTGTATGTATGTTGAACTTCTTCCGCACAGTACATAACCAACGTAACGAGTTCCTGGTGCAGTGTGTAAACATCAGCACTGGGGAGATAAAGGCGGCTGGATGTGGCGTTGGCCGCCCACCCACCCTCATGGTGCTGGGGTTACCTTCATAGGTGCTTGCTGACAGCACTTTTCTCAGCTATCTGTTAAAAGCTAAGCGGGAGTCTTTGTTAGACCAGTATCTGAATAGCTTTATTGACACCGGACAAAAGTTTGGGGTGCGTGTTACTTCCCGGAGCGTCTTATGATCCGGCGAATATGGTAAAAGTATGTGGTTATAGGTCGCAATGGCAATTGAGTCAACTCTTTGTAGTGTGATGTATTTCTCGCTCTCTTTAATGCAGATTTTCTATTCTTAACTGTAATGAGAAAATACAGCAACGCCTTTGTGCATGTGTGTGCAATAATTGTAATGGTGAAAAAGGCAGGACTGTCGCCTGACCTCATATAGCAGATCTGCTTTAATAACCTCATTATACTCTGATGTAACCATTTGCCTTTGCTCCAGTTTCAGATACGTTTTAATTCTATTTAAAAAGAAAACCTAATTTTCCCCACCTATGTGTGTGTTTTCAAATAATTTCCCAGCTCAATTTATTCATTAAAAAAAACGAGGCAAACTGATAATGTAATGTTCAACAGTGGGTTTCCAGGTTGTTATTGGTTTGAATGTTTTATCTCCAAAGTGAAATTGAAATTAGCTTCATAGCTTCTGGATTCTATTGGTTTTGAATTTCGTCACGTGAAATATAATGTGACTGAATATTTGTCAAAAAACTGCTTCCAGGCAGTTTTACATTTTTTTTGTGGATAAATTCTTATGCAAAATTTAAGTCAAATGATGATTGGAACAAGTTTGTAATGGATTAAGAAGATTTATTTCTACTCAAATATGTGTATTTATATGTAAATAAACAAAAAGTAAACTAGTGCAATGTAAATGTTATTTTTTCAAATAATTTACCCGTGGTTTCAACATCACTTGAAGTGTGTTTAAAATTTCGATTCAAAAAGACCCGTTTCATCTACAAACAGGAACACGTTGATTAAACAATGCAGTCCTTTACATCATGTGGCCAATGTTCCTGGCCAGTGAGATAAGGCTGGAAGGAGGATTGCGGCTCAGTGTGCTGTCATTGTCAGCTCCATAAAGACAATTGTTGGTGTCGGGACAATGGAAATCATTATTATAAAACAAACGGTTGTTCCCCCCCCCCACTTCACTATGAACCCGGTGCCCAAAGTTTGATTCTTAGCCACGGGTTGTATTTGAACCTTAACCAGCCAACACTGACCAGCGTGGCAATCGACCGACACAACATGGCGGGGGGTAGGGGTCGTCCTTCATCCAGCAGTGGATTAACCAAAGCGGTCCCCCCCCATATCTGGTGCGATTGCAGGAGCAGCGTGTGCAGCACATGAGGCAGCAGCAGGGGCAGCAGGCAGGCCTCGGTGAAGCGGAGAAGCTGCAACGTCTGCGCGAGCGCGTCGAGAGCCAGGAGGCCAAGATCAGGAAGATCCGTGCCATGAGAGGCCAGGTGGACCAGCCCAAGCTGCTCAACAATAATCTCTGTGAGTTGTGCTTTTTCATTAAGCCTCATCATGTATGCATCAAGTTGGAAAACTATTTGCTTTTTAAATCCTTTATATTAAGTTCACTTGCTTGCTTGCTTACCGTGCAAATCTTTCGGTCGTTTTTTAACCCACTTCCCGTGATCCAATCGAGCTGACATTTTGCACACAGACTCGTTGTGCGTGACAATGTATTTTCGTGGAAACAAATTTCCATAACTTTAGACTTTTTAGGAAAAAAAAATATATTTAATTACCAATTGCTTAATGGTGGCAGGCAATCATCTGACCCATAGGTGGCAGCCATCTCAAGCCAGAGGACGAGAGGACTCTAGCCGCCACGCATATAAAGGATTTATAGTGAAAAACTTTGTTTTTACGGGTTAATTTTTTTGTGTTTTGTTTCATCTTCCACACCTCCTGATTTAAGTACGGTTGGCTACGGATGGTGCGAAAGAATCTGAACATCCATACATATATACATGGTCTTCATATAAGTTAAATAGAGATGCATAATGTTCATTTATATTCTGGTTAGAACCCGATGACCAAATCGGAAATGCTCTGATTCACCAGAAATGCTCTGATTTCATCAGATCTCAGAAGCTAACCATGGTTGATTTCAGATAGTGCTTGTGGATGAGTGATCTCCGTGCATAAAACAGGTGTCTTATGCTACATGGAGGGCAGCAGAGGGCAGTGCAACAACATCTATTCTGCTAAGTACAGCAAAACTTCGGATTCTAACGTGTGATCAATAAAAGTGCAGAAAACATCATTTGAAAAATGAATACTACGTTTTTCCATATGAAATAATGTAATTCTCAAAGTATTAAACACAATAACACTTTTATGTGTTGGCAGTATAATGTCATGTGCCATGTTGGTTTGTTGACAACATTTATTTTTCCTTTAAAGTAAAAGAAAAACTGATTTGAGAATAGTATATTAACACAAACTCACCACCCCCTTCGCTCTCATAACATTGCTTTATAGCATAAAGGTATTTAATAGTCTGTTTTTGGGTAGTTGTCCACCTATCATAGTCGAAAAACTACAAAAAATATTGACCGACTTGCATTTTGCACGATATTCATCTACAAACTAGTCAGTCATTCTGACAAAGGTGGCAAGTTGACATCATCACGTTTGCACAGCACCATTCATCAATACGCGAGTCAACTCCATCTTGCTATCAACTCCCACGTCTCCCCCTTCACCATCGTCCCTTCTTCTCCCACCCGCGCGTCCCCTGTGTCGCCCCCGTGCCTCTGCCCCAGCAGTGTCGGAGCTGACGGTGATGAACAGCTTCCTGACGGAGAAGCAGCGGGAGCTGTCGGTGGCGGTGACGCGCGTGGAGGAGCTCACGCAGCAGCTGGAGGACTTGCGCAAGGGCAAGTCCAACGGCTTCTGCCACGCGAACCTCGGCAAGCAGCTGGCCTCGGCGGTGCTTGACCTTGACCGTCTCTACCGCGAGCTGCAGGTGGGGCGAGCCTTCTCGTGCCTCCGCCTTTACATTCGGCTTTGATGGCCATTTTTACTTCATTTTTACTTTATTTTTCTTTCCTTTATATGTCATTCCTTTTCATCTTTCTGTCTTCTTTTCATTCCCTTCTTTTTTAGCTATGATTTCCTTCCTTACCTTCTTTCCTCCTCCTTTCTTGCTTTCCTTCTAAGCCAAAAGTCTCACTGTATGCTTGGGGTCAACTGCTCGGAAATGTCTGCGTTCATGCGCTTCTGGTCTGTTCTTCTTTTCTCGTCACGTCCACCATCCCGCTTTTCTCGTTCAACCTTATCTTTCTAGCTCGCCCTCAGTCTCCCTCTACTCTTTGTGCATTGTTTCTCTCCAAATTGCATCTTATCTTCACGACACATGTTGAAACTATCTAAGGCTACCCTCACTTGCCTTCCCGTGAATATTCGCAATCCGAGGCTAAAACTGTTTCAATCTGCATCCTTTCCCTCGTAGAGAAAACACAAACTCCATATCGTCCAAGTAGTTTTTTCGTGTTCAACCTTCATTCACGGCTTCATGCAATTTGTGCTGTCAGCGTCCATGTCATGAAACGGTGTCCATTTGGAGCTCTCGCAGAGCAGGGCAATACCCTGTGTCACAGAATTGCCTGCTATGGAGAATTATTCCTCGAATGGCAGCCCAACTGGTGTTTTACATTTTCAGAGCTGGAATTTTGACCAATAAAATTGGGGGTGCAGGGGGGGTTTACAGAGATTTTCAAACCAGGCTGAGATCTTTAACTTGCAACACTTGAAAACTCGGTTAAATCTTGGGTGGATGCCCTTATTCCAACCCAGCATCGTAGTGGTGCTGGCTCATTGCTCTAACGCCAGGGCCACTGTAGCACACGGATATTAAATATTGAGATCAATCTTTTTTTTTTTTACAGCTGCGAGAGTATGTTAAGTTGATGCACGTCTAGGACAATAGTGTACAAGTGATAGTGAATACTTGGTTCTGTGTATTATATGCATTCATTTCGTATGATGCTTTAATTGTATTATGTGATTGTCACGTGACATTTGTGATATTTAACATACATTCATAATTCAAGGATGATGTACAGAAGGTGATATGTACATGTAGGCAATTATAGGAGGTAAAATAAGTGCGTTGATTGTTAAAATTTAACTTTTAACAAAGGAGGGTTACAAGCATCGGGGGGGGGGGGGGGGGGGAATGGGTTATCCAGAGAATAGAGATTGATGTCCTAATTAGAGGGAAGTCAGTTATTGATGAAGCCAAGAATGGTTTTAAGAGATGAGGCCGGAGGTGGGAATGGTGGACTATGGCTTGAACGACCACTGGGGCAAAACCAATGAAGGTTGCTTTGTACAAGTTGATCCGCTGGTGATCTGGGAGACCGTTGAGTGATCTGGGGATTTGGGTATCGTTATGTCATAACCACTAAATAACTGCTTGAGCACCAAGCTATTTTGAAAGAAATCCTACATTATAGGATAGTCTGTACTCCGTTTTGAGGAAGTAGCTATTAATATAGTTGTCTGACCGACAACGATGCAGCAATAATGAAATCCTTGCAATATAACCAATTGGACACTTATTTTGTAATCATCATTTGATAACAGCAGCCACAATTTCCCAAAAACTTGTTAATACTGGAGCTGGATTAACATGGTGCATTGTCACCAATAAAGTTTTTGTTCTATCTCTGAAGACAATGTTCAGTCGAAAATTGTTGATGTTGTTTTACAAAGAGTGTGGTTTGGCTGATGGAACCGTCTGTCCCTTGAGCATGTGTACACGAGCCCAACACACTCTTGGCAAGAATGGGACATTTTGTGCAGCTGTCAACCAAAATAACTCCCCACACAAACTATGTAGTCTTCTCTCAAACAAGACAGGGCCTCCTTTTAAGCAAGCTGTGTTCGTCTTAATGAGGCTATGCTGTTTTGAGGATCTACATTTGAAGTGTGGAAATGAAGGGGGTAGGGGGCCCCCTTGTGTGTACATAATTGGTTCTTTACTTCCTGTGCCATGCGGTGGAAATTGTAACTTGCTTGGCAAGCCGTGTTGATTTCCTGAATGTATACGTAAAGGATCATTATGTGGTCCTAATAATGCGGACACATTTTATTCTCCGTTTCCCGTAAATTATATTGTATATCTTAACATGTTGGTGGATGATTACCTGTTTTTTATTATAAGAGCTATCCTAATACGTAAACATGTCATTTCGCTTGGCCAAGGCAGTTCACACTGGTATCTACGTAAAAGAAAACATTGGAATTATATTTTCATTCAGCCCCCTGTGCAATTCTCATTACAATTCTTGAATGTTGCATATAGAAGTTTCGGTTAATAGGAAGTCGCCACAGTTTCCGAACTGCAGGTGCAGTGCACCGTGGCTTTGCTAAGGTGCGTCACCCTTTGTCCTGCAGACGAGGAACCGTCTACAGCAGGAGCAGAACCAGAGGCAGCAGCACCGGCGCAATGGTGCAACGGCCGAGATGGAGCGACGGATCAACGAGCTTCGGGAGCAGATGTTGAAGAAGAAGCTGGGCACCGGGGGCACGGTGAGCTCCCAGGTCTCCCTTGCAAGTGTTAAAATGTGTGTGTGTGTGCGAGTTGGACTTATTTCGCGTCGTACGTAGCCAACCGTGCTAATCGGAGGTGCGATTGTTCACTTTCAGCTTGCACGTACCATCCATCGGTATCAAATTCTGTAGCGGAGATCGACGACTAACGTGTGTTTGTGTGCCAGCACTTCCTCTCGGCGCGAGCTCTCATGATGTTCCTTCCCATGCTGGGCTGGGCTCACACCTCGATATCATCGCATCATGTTAACTGCGTTAAACGGCAATGAATTGATGTAGTTCATTGTTTTTACTGCTGGTAGAGCAATGATCGTGTTTTTCACATCGAGCTGTTCACTTGCGTTATGAGTGGTCTGACTGAAAATGGTCTGGTGGCACCTGGAAGTTGATCAATTTTTATCTTTGTGGTGGCGCTTGTACGGTACATTGACGTTGTTTAAACGCTCGTGAATAATCTTCACAATGCAGTAAATCATAAATTTTTCCCCCGCTCACTTTTATAGCTGTGGATCGGTGTGTGTAAGGGCAGGGAAGTGGAGCTTTCATTTTGCATGCCCTTCGTAAGTTTGTAAATGTCGGATTGACCGAGCAGCTCCACTGTGGCGGTGTTCATCACAACCAACGTGAACCCGCCGTACTTCCTGCTCGCTTGTGAAAATAAACGATCGCTCGGCAATCTTGGCAGCAGTAAACCTCTTGTGCGCTGTTGTCGTGACCAAATCACATGCGCACGATAAAGAACCATGACTGCTTTTAATGAGGGCCAGCTTGTAAAAAGAAGCTATTTGCACATTGATGAAGGCAACGTGTTGTATTGTTTTTTTTACATTGTGTTAAAGCACATTAATACAAATGTTGGGTGTGTGAACCTTCGCACGTAATAATATATTGTTTGTGAAGAAAGTTTAGTGTATTTTACGTCCGCACAGTTTTACTTGCTTTCACATCTTATCAAAAAGGCATGCAGAAAAAAAACACGTTAAAATTGGAACTTGTGGAAGGTTGTGGATTGATTTCATACAGGGTTGGGCCGAATTAGTTTTTTGGCTGATCAATCCCAGAATCAATTCAAGGCCTAAGCGTGAACATAACCATATATTGGAATCAATTGCACCCATCACTGCTTGAAACGATCGAATATCCATGTGGTTTTGCATCGGTCTCCGTTTATTGTGGCAATAAAGCACAACCTATTGGCATCTTGTCAAATAGCGTTGCCTGTGTTGAGCCCTCACGTGTGTAACATCAAGCGAGATTGTTTTCACTGTTATTACTTTGATCGTTTATGACTGTAGGATTCTATCGCACCATCTCCGGAACGGAGCAGAATCCCCAATGCCGTGTCCGGCCGCGTGGCGGCAGTAGGGCCCTTCATTACAAACCTGGGCCCCCCCGATGGCACCACGGCCTTCAGGACCCCCGGGAGCGAGGCTTACGGCCTCCCCACAACTGCCGCGCGAGAGGGTGAGTGACAGGGTTTGCCCGCGCTGCAATCGCACGGCCCAGCTGGTCTTGTTATTACGTGTGAGTTGGTGGTGAAGAGTGGGGGGACCGTTCAGGCTAACATTATTGCCCACAAACATTTTCAGGACGGGTGAGCAGTGTGATTGAGTTTAGCTTCAGAGTAACACGCACAGCTAACAGCTGTGACGGATTCATGCCTATGTCAGACTGCTCTACACAGATTGACGCGGTTTGTTACAATCAGATCTGTACACTCTGAAATTATATTTTGTTATTTGCAATGTTATTCTTTCTACATGTAACTGCCACCCATTAAATGCCACGCTCCTCACGTAGACGAGCAATCATCTACAGTAACATATGTTCGTATGATATAATCACATATGATATGCTGACACCAGCAATTCTTACTTATTTGGATATACAGCAATCAACAATGATAGGCAACATCAGTAATACATAAGCAGCACACAATACATTCCACAAACAATATATTTGTGAATATACCGGTCTTGCCGCTACGTACAGTGCAAAGTAATTGGTGAAACAGGTGGTAGCGTTGCATTTATGTTGTTCGTACGCGCAAAGAGGATGGAGACTGACTTTATTAGCACACTGCAGTATTATAATGTTGAGCAGTACTGAGTGCGTAAGCCTGTATGTGGTTCTGCCCTTGCACAGGGGTCACACGTTATGATTTAAAGCCTAAAGGATTTTGGGCCGAATCGGACCTGGATTTTGCGAACATGAGTACAAAGCAAGGCCAACCACTTTTTGGGGCCACAGAGAGTATGTTTTATCCTTCATAGAAATTCTGCGATGCTTTCCTTTGCCTTGTTTTCCCAAAATAATTCTGCACGTAAAAAAAAATTGCAGGAATAGTTAAAGCATGATCATATTCCTTAGAAATTTTCTTTCTTGATTGATTCATGATGATTTCTGTCATTAACATATTTCTATTAATATTGGCTGTAAACTTTTGCCTAGCTGGCTGCTAATATATCAATCATTAGAACATTGATCTTGCATGTTTGCATTCCTGTATATGAAAATTACACTCTACAATCTGCAGCTGGGCATTTGCATTATATCTTGCATTTTGAGCTTCCTATATACTGCTGCTTTTTCTAGAAGTAGATTTTTTTTTTAACTGCATAGTTGTTTGCATTTCAAATTGCTTGTAACAATATAATTAGCATCATTGTTCCTGATCCCCCCCCCAACTGCACTCTCACCTCTTCCTGTCATGAGATGCTTTGGAATAAGACGAAATGCAGTTTGATTGCTTCACAGTATTCATTTGATTTGTGTAATGCAAGCAGTGGAAATCAAGGGAATTTATCAAAGATTCGTAAGTGATAAAAAAACAAAGTCAGCCGGTATTAAAAAAACATGCCAGCACAGAGTCGTTTTTAACACGTTGGTTTATTTATGTAGTTCACTGAGTTATGATAGCTTTTTGTAGATTAAAAGAATCCTTTTTTACACATTTGGGATATGCCGGTTTTCATTGTGGAGTACAATTCATTTATTTACTTTAATGTTTTTACATGAAAGCTTTGGCATTTTATGTTAGATTTAGAACACAATTACAAAATATCAGTGGTCAAATAACACAAACCTCTATTTTAGGTTCCTACTATTTCTACCTAACAATCTAATTCATCACCCATGACCGCTTGCTGTTTACCAATGCAATCCGGGAGACATAGCATCCACCTCCCCCTTCCCTCCTCTGCACCCCTTACCACCCCCCCCCCCCAGCGTAGCGGGTGATAATAATTACAGATGACCCTTCACATGGTTGCGTGCACTCGTGCATCATCGTGCGCTCTCTTGTGTTGCGCAGCGAGCGAGGGGGCCCGGCTGGGTGGCAGCCAAACCCAGTCCTCCACGCTGAGCCGCGCGACGCTCAGCTCCGCCGACTGGAAGGAGTCGAGTCTCGACGTCCCGCTCGCAAACCAAGGCAGGGCAACGTCTCCCGGCAGCCACGGTGAACCACGCGGCACCGTGCCGCCAGACGCATAGCGGGCACGGTGGTGTACGTCGCGTCTGCAATGCCGAGATGCATAGTTGAGGCTAAGACGTAACGATACATCGATTCAAATTGATTGTTACGCTCGATAAGTGCATTGAGTCATGCGGATGCGAACTACTAATTTGTAATTAGTATCTGTAGTTGTGTGTGAAGACCGATCTTCAACTTTCTTTTTGATGCTTTCATGCTCCCATTGCTTGCTGTGATGATAACTGATGATGATGATGTTGTTTCTGGGAGTGGCGTGGCAGTAGTTGGTGCACTGCGCTATGAGCACCTCAACCCAGTTATATTATTGCTGGTTATGGTTAACACTAGTGACGAGTGATATCTTAAGCAATCCTGCCTGCCCCCACCACTTCACCAACCCACCCTGACCAGTTTGGGAAAGTATGGTGTACTATGCTAATCGGAGATGCGGGGGAAGGACAGCAAACTTAACACAAACAGCAGTTCGAAAGAAATTAGTTTTCTCTATTTTAGGGCAGGCCTCTATAGTCTTGCACCTTCCATTGTTGGAATCTTGAGCCATAACTTTGACTCCCTTGCCAGTGTTTTTATAAGTGACGCCATTAACTGCTGAAGTTTAATGTCATGCATACGACAAATTATAACGTAACTGGCAGTATAGAAAAATTAGGCGTGATATTGACTTGCGGCAGGGAGGGAAGATTTAAATTAGGTCAAGGTTGGGAAACGTATAATGTTGTTGGGGGTGTGGAAAACGATGTGGTGGGTGTTGATTGACTGCAAGTGCCAAGATTGTTATTAGTCGTCGCGCCATAAGCGCGTGAGGTACGCTGCTGTGTTTCTTCGGATGGGGAAAGTATTCAGAGCTGAACCCAATAGGCCATTGCACAAAAAGAGTTTCAGGTGTTCTTTGGTGGAATGTCGTGGCTTTTCCAGGTTCCGCTGACACTTGCAGTCTTATTTTTTTCCCCCCTTAATTCGTCATGTTTCACCGCATCCCTTGCCTAAAAGCGTGCAGCAACATGCAAATTCATGAGCCCACAAATACACAGAAGTGTCGCCTTTCACATGTTACCATCGCACGCTGAACACGCACCGTTCAATCCGTTTTACATTGACTTGGATGATGTTAGGTCGCGGAATACGTTAGTTATTTCTGTATCCCTTAATGTAGAAATACTTGTCGACACCGTACAGTGTCGTGCTGCTTAGAAATTTGACATTAATGGCAACATGTGGAGCTGACGGTGGATGTAGTCAAACCTTATGGCCTCGCATTGGATGTCACACTTGTTTATGTGACACCCCGGGTGTGACAGCAAAGCGCGCTTTGGTTGACCCATTTATCACAAGTGTCAAAAATAACTTACATTTCTTTTAAATACCTGCCATGTTCTTTATTGCACAAGGGTGGAAGTGACTGCACAAGCGATAGACATTTAACACGGCAAATTTCTGTTTTTAATCAGTGCATATTACCTGCTCTGATGTATGATTTAGAAACATTGATGTTCACGAATGAATTTAACAAAAGCTAAAAGGTGCAGATGCCTGGAGAGGTGTATGCTTGGAATCGCATTGAGAGACATAAAGAAGAACATGTGAATTAGAAAAAACACACACATCGGGTTACAACATCAGTTTAAATTTCGATTTAAAGCTTTTGTGACTGCAGGGATTCATCTTATTGGTTCTTTAGGTTAAAGTCACGTAGAAGGGAAATAATAAAATAATAAAAATTAAACATAATAAAATAATTCTCACGACGTTTCGGCCACAACGCAAGCAGCCGTCCTCAGGTGAAGAACAGGTCTGTCTTTCCGACAGACCTGTTCTTCACCTGAGGACAGCTGTCTTTCCGACAGACCTGTTCTTCACCTGAGGACGGCTGCTTGCGTTGTGGCCGAAACGTCGTGAGAATTATTTAATTATGTTTTATTTGTATTATTTTATTATTTCCCTTCTACGTGACTTTACCGAAACATCAGTTTAACTGCAATCCCAGGGCCCATCACGACAAGAGATCGTGGCCGGTTGTCGAGAATATCAATGGAGTGGCAGCCAAGGCTGCCAGGGAATGCACCTGAAACTACGTCCGCCTTAGAGATGGAGCGATGAATTCAGATCGTGTATGGGGGACTCGTTGGATTGTTACAAGTCCATGAGAGACGGCAACAACTTGGGGAGGCCTTCATTCAACAGTGCATTGATTGTGGCTGCCGATGATTAAGAAAACACTTTATGAGAGTTATGTCTGCATCGCCTGCAGAGTTTGGATATGTAAATCCATGTTTACATATACAAATCCAACGCACACATCTGGTGGTACCCAAATGCAGCCGAGTGACTTGAGGGCAGGTTTGGTTGGCGCGTCACACAGACATGGAATCGGAGAGGGAGTTTGACAAGTAGTTTCCTGACATTTGTGCACGTAATATTGAATGTTTACTCAAAGTTTTTGGCCAAACACCCCACAGCACGACCCCCATGCCTCGAGCTGTTCCATATACCCACCGTGTTTTCAAATGTACCTCCAAATGAAATTGTGCTTAAAATAAGATCTTTAAAAAAAAATCGTTTCTTTTTATGTCTTATACGTATATCTGAATCCGTCTTGTTCTGTAGATGCCAGCACTCTTTCTATGCTCAGGACAGAATTCATTGACAGCTCTCAGCCTCCGTCCAGCATTAGACAGGTAAGCGAGAAACATTGTTGATGTGTACAAAGCGTACATGCACTTTTCCTAAACGTGCTTCAGAGTTAACCATGCGTTGAGAATTTTTTGCAATTAAACTTAATTATCGGCATTCAACTGCTCGCTTCGAAACACAAAGCGAGGTGTGGGTGTGGATAATTAAAGCTAATTATACACTTTTATTAATCGCACACTTCAAGAATTTGACCTTTGGGTAATTTGCAAATGCTAATTATGAATTTGAAATGCGGGTACAAGAAAAAGAAGCTAAATGGTTGCGCTTTTCACCCTAGACGTGAAAATCTATTGTGCGATTGACAATCTATAATCTAATCAGTTTAAACAGCGCGGAGACATCCGGTATTGTCGAAAGACTTCACGATGAAGATTGCTGATGATTATTTCTCGTGTCCTCCACACCGTATTTAATTATACAAGAGCCTCCCGCTGCGAAACGCGCACCGTTCTTCGTTTTTTCTCACAGAGTTGGGCTGGGGTGAGCGGGCAAGGTCAAGTACGGCCCAGGCAGCCAGGACCTCAGGAGTATGCCTTGCCGATGGGCGGAACTCTGGACCGGAGACCCAACGGTGGCACGCTGGGGGAACGTTCGGTGGGCCCCGCCATGACTGGCAATGGAACTTGGCCTGGGCAGCCGGCGAAGCAGTTCTCCCAAGACCAGCCACGTACTTCACGACAGGTGAACAGAGAATCGTACTTGGCATGTGATGATTACCCAAGGCCGCCCCCCCCCCCCCTCTAGCCGTCCCACCGCCCACCACCCTTGCCTCACAATTTATGGAAATGTCACACTTTGGGGGGGGTTCATGATTCCATTAAAGAAACGTTCAAATGAACGGTTGGACGTTGAATGTTGAATCTCTAGTTGCTGTAGGGTTTACGTGAATTTATTTTTACGCGTGAACACATCTTTTATATTTAACTCTTTCAAGCAAGATTCGTTGCTAGTTTTGTGAGCCTAACAATGTATCTTTTTCTGCTGAATCGATCTATTATTGCATGCCTACATTTTACTTTAAGCAGGCATTTGCTGTTTATTTATCAATGGCATTTGTTAATTAATTATTTAAACATAGTACTAGTTGTAAATGATTCGATTCTGAGTTTTACACGATAAATGATCGATATTTTTAAAGTAATTTATGCTGATGCTTCACAATTGTAATAGCCATAACTGGCTCATGAAAATTATTAAGAATCTGTACATTGGCCTAGGATGATTTAATTTCAGACATTCTTACAAATGAGGTATGTTACTTCAATAGAACTGTCAGGTTTAACATTCTTAAGAAGGGGTTAAACATATGTTACCAGTGCATACTTAATGGCATCGTGCATTTTCTACTCGCACTAAGAAATCTACGAGAGCTCATAAGAGGGCTGTTTGGAACATGGCGTGCCAAGGAGTCGTATAAATGATAGCAGATTTATAACACGTTAAATTGATTTTGTTTTAAAAATAATATTCACACCATGTACTAGTCGTAATGTGCATGGGTCTGAACCTTTTGTATTGCTTGCATCTCACTTCAATTATCAACTTTATTTGCCAAGTTATATCATTCAGAGTTTAATGACATTACATGAAAGTGGTGTTTGAATAACGAGTCACATGAAGTTGAAATTTTTTACCGAGTTATGTTGGATAAAGGTAGCGCCGACGTGCGTTGTTCGCGTGCTTACCAGTAATGACCTGGGTTCGTGTTCCCGCTGGCATTGTTCCCTAGATCCAGCAGCGGATCGTGGTACCCCCCAGCGGGCTGGCTCCCCAGACGCAGCTGCCACCGCGCCCAGCTTCCCCTGCCCTGTCCACTGGCTCCTCGTCGTCCTCCTCATCCCTCCAGCAGCCCTATCACCCCCCAATGCAGCCGCCATCGAGCACGCTCTTCGCCCAGTCAAAGTCAGGAGTGAGCAGCCCTTACCTGCAGCAGCAGCAGCAGGGTGTCGGCAGCAGTATCCCGTACACGCAGTCGCAAGTGTACCCGCCATCCCTCGTCAGTGGCGGCAGCGGCCCAAGACCTCAATACCAGTTGGGGTCTGGAAGTCCTCTGTCGCAGCAGCAGGCGTCCAGTAGTTGCGGCAGCATCAGCGGTGGCGGCGGCAGCGGCTACCCTCAAGCGGGCGAAGCGAGGTCGTACCTGCAGCCCGGACCGCAGGGGATCACCTCCGGCAGCCCGAGACCTTCGTTGCAGTCCGGGGGCGGCGGCAGCAGCGGCCCTTACCTGGAGGCGCGGGCGGACGTCGCCCCCCCGCCGGGCGTCCTGGTGGCCGCCGCTAGGCCCTCGCCCAGCCCGACCGACAGCCTGCAGAGGTCGCAGTCGCCGCGCAAGCAGGCGCCACCGCCCACGCTCGACTCCAGCTCGATTTACTCGATGTACACGCAGCACGCGGGCCCCTCCCGCCAGCTGCAGCACGCCATGCTGTCCGCGCTCGGCAAGAATCAGGGCCGGCAGCTGCCAGGGGCTGCCCCGGCAGGTGAGAGAGCGGGTGGATGCTTGCGGTAATAATGACAATTGCTTTGGCGCTGCGAACGTGGAAAGCCATCACAATGGTGCTTGCCACAGGCTAGGAATCAAACTCGGATCACCGGGTTCATAGCGCAGTGTGTTAACTACCCACCACTAGTTGTATAAAATACCTGCACGTAAATTTATCGCCGACATAAAACCAGCAGCTTCTGATGATCGAGTTGGTGTCATCTGTTGAAGTTTTGCAAAGGATACCTCAGTTGCCACTTTTACTGGCATTCATCTGTGAAATTATGTTGAGCATTATGCAACTATAAATATAAACACATTTTTTCGTGCATGTATAACACAACAAGCCGGTTGTAGAGGTTATTTCCCCATACTTCACCATGCTGGTCAATGCACGTTGGTGAAGGAGGGAAGAATTAATATAGGCGCACAGAAATCCACGTGACAATGGATTTTGCTGCACTGGCCTTTTGCGATCACCATTTCAGTTTCATGTATTAAGTATAGCCCTATGAGCCATGCGCCTCTTGACTCGGGTGCAACCGCAACAAAAAAAAACATGAACAAGAAACATCTTAAAGTGACTACACGCAACAGACAAAAATCCTGGAAAAAACAGCAAAGTCTTCCAGAAAAAACACCGTATTTCAATGCTGTGGCACAGTCCCGCAGCTACCTATAGCAACTTATTGTGCATGGTGGCCACCTTTCCAACACTGTCCAGGCTCAAGCCGACTGAACCTCCAACATTCGGAGTATAATACATTACCATGTGATACGCTACTAAGTTGAGCTATCATTTGTACTGGACATCTGTGAAATACAGGACAAGTATGAAAAAGAGCTTCTCCAGGATAAATAAAGATTCCGATTCTGATTGTGGCCAGGTTGCTTCTGAAAAGGAGCGATATCGCTCAGTGGGGCTTCCCTTGTAAAATAAAAATAGTTTAGTATATGACATCGGGTGCATTCTGGATGTTTTGCTCAGAGGCACTCAATTATATTGTAGCATAAATCAAGAAGATATATTTTCACTGCAATGAGTGTGTGTGTGTGTGTGGATGTGTGTGCGGCTGTGTGTTTGCAATGATCGGAAGTGCAGCGGTTGGCGTGTTGCACTGCGAACCCGGCAGCCCGAGCTTGATTCCCATTCACGGCCAACAAGTGACGATTATCTGAATTGGTCCCGGGCTTCCCCTAGGTCGACTGAGCCTCAAATTAGTACCTGGTACAGTGTGTTAACACCTCCATTGGGGAGACAAAAGGAGTCGGGCGTGATGCTGACCACCCACCCCTTCGTGCACCGTGCCGGCCTTCATAGGTGCTCGCTTAACAGCACTTGCCCTAAAAGTCTGTTCAGGCTGAGGGAGATCTTTGTCTTTGCAATGATTCAACGGACATATCGTAATATATATCTGTCTTGTTGTGCATCTGCCTCCAACTGTTTAAAGGGTATGGGAAGCCAGCTGGCAGCATCCAAAAGCCGCCGGTGAAACCTTTACCAGCGTACGACCCCGCACGGCCCCCTTACAGTCCACCACTGCCATACGGACTGCCGATTCCACGGACTCTGCAAGAGGACAGGGAGTTGGAAATGGAAGGATTAAGTTCAAGCATAGTCCCAGGTATTATACACACACACAAACAGTATTGATTTATCTTATGAACTAAGTAGCAGCTATTTTGTTTATGAACTGAAAATGTGTCTGCATTGCACTTCTTGTGCAATCGGACCCAAGCATCAACTATGAAACGTATTATTGGTCGCAAAAACATACGTGTTAATGAATATACATCACCATGAGGAAGAAAAAAACCCACCTTATCCTACCTTCTCTCACCACCTTGAGACATCGGGTCACTACTTTTTGTGAAATGTACTGTTCATATTCTTGGTTCTTTCGGTAAAGTCACGTAGAAGGGAAATAATACAATAATACAAATAAAACATAATAACATTCTCACGACGTTTCGGCCACAACACAAGCAGCCGTCCTCAGGTGAAGAAACAGAGCGGTCGGAAAGACAGCGTCCCAACAACTTTACCGAAAGAACCAAGAATATGAATCCCTGCAGTCACGAAAGCTTTAAATCGAAAAATGTACTGTTGCTGAGATTGCCATGCAAAGGAGAGTGAAATAATTCACCTTTTATTTTATTTATGTGATATTGTGGGCTCATGTGATCTCTGCAAGCAGTAGAGATTCACCATTCACCTCTTGTTTAAGTTTTAAAATGTATTCTCGAATGGAATCATGAATGCCGCGTGACGACAATTCATAGACATCGTTAGGGGACAGTGGATGAATCGTTACACCTTTACACCTCAACGCTTCCCCCTTCGCTTCGATACCCATCACAGCCTTGGGCACAGACGCCGACCCTCCCCGGCCACTGAGCCCCACCAAGCTGATGCCGATCAGCATGTCCCCGCTCCGCGGCCAGAGCGACGCCGACCTGGAGGCGCTGCGGCGCAAGCTCCAGCACGCCCCACGGCCCCTCAAGAAACGCGGCTCCATCGCCGAGCCAGAGACATCCGGCACGGGGTTCGGGGGCAGCCTGGGAGGGTTGGGTGGTGGCGGCGGCGGAGGCGGCGGAGGCGTCGGTGGAGGGGTCGCCGCCTCGTTGTTGCATCATCAGACCAGCCCGGGACACCTTCTGCAGAAGTTGCAGTACCAGCGCTTGACGCTGTCCGTACTGGAGGAGGGTGCGGCACGCGACTTCGGGCAGATCGCACCGCCTCTGCCCACGTATGCGCCGTATGACGTAAGTTCGGCGAATTGTTTTCCAAGCAGAGAGAAGGGCTTGCCATTGCACGCTTACCTGCCTGAAACATGATGATGACGACGATGATGATCGGGGTGTTTGGTTTGTGCCGGGCATGGTACAGCATGCCTTTAATCCGGCACTTTTGGAGGCAAGGGTTGGCAAATCATGGAGATAATGTGAGACTCCCAAACAAGCTGAGCTTCACGGTATTTTGTAAATTCAAAACAAATACAAAGCGATTTTGATTTCTATAGCATCCAAATGCGACCTCATCTCAAGATGCTTATATAGCAATGGCTATAATATTTCATGGCTGTTGTTGGCCTGAGTTGGGAGGTGGGAGTAGAGTGATGGATCTTGTATCCACCTGTGCAGACCTTTAAATATTATACCTTCCTATGCATTGGTTTGTAATTAGAAAAACACCCCAAAGCAGGAACCTCCTGAAAAATGCTCTTCTGGCACAGTGATGCTTGTTTAAAAATATGCTTCCATAAACTAAATTGCATTAAAAATAACTCGTTGGTTTTAATATGCACGGAAATTAATGTTTTTTTCTGCTAGATGCTGTATGAATTTCAATTACTGTAATTTTTTTTTATTTGGAGCAGAAGAAAATTAATTATTGAAGGTGTTTCCTTGCGTGCGCATTTTGCTCTCGTGTTGATAAATGTCCCGAGTCTACAGTTTTTCAAAACGCATCTCATAGTTCACAACCCATTGTTGTTGTGCGCGTGCCGCATTGATCGCAGTACGGGCAGCAGAATTCGAGCACGGCTTTTTTGAGCCAGGACTCGGACGGCAGTGAGTACATACCTGGTGAGCTTGACCCAGCGCCTCAGCAACCACCACCTCCTCCTGCCTCCATCCCCCTCGCACCGCCTGGAACGCCACCGGGGGACCTCAATGATAACGCTCTCCCCAGCAGCCCTGGCAGGTATGCAGAGAGCCCATCAGGAATTTATATGAGTAATGGTAAGAATAAAAAAAATATATTAAAGAGAACAAGTCTGCGCAATAAACCCTTTCTGTTTTGGTAATGCAGCAGCCAGCCAACGGGCCGTAACATGCCCCTATCTTTGTACATCGTATTGTTGCATTATCGGACCCTTGCACGGCTGCAGAATTGTTATTGATCCAATGAGTTACTCTGAAACAATACAGCGGGAGTGTTGGGATGATGCGATGGCTCGGTGTGGAGCTCACACACTATTAAATTTCTCTGCTATAAAAAGGAGTTCATTGCAACTCATTGTCCACAAGTTTGCTGGTTCAATGCGAGCACTATTGGAGGATAATAGTTCATTATGTGCAGAGAATTGCACATGTTTAATGCATAAACTTCAAACTTTACGTGATTTGCAGAAGAATTTATTGATTTTCTTTGTTGCCTATCAGCAGGTTAATTGAACTAGATTCCAATTTTGAACGTAAATAATTTAGTTTTTTTTTCTCCCGAAAATGCCTACGTTAATTGTGCTCTGTAGTCGTCAAACAAAAAATGCACAGCTCTTGTATAATTGCCAAAACAAACAAGTATCCTTATAATGAGGAAAAACTGAAAAAAGTGGTCAAGGATGATTGCAAATCATTCCATAATTTGTATTATTGCTCTGTCATGTTAATTATTTCATTCACTTTATTACAACAACTGATTTTTAAAATGTTGTAGTTATAGCAAACTTTTATATCGCCAGAAAAAAATGTCATATTTGTAAAATTGTACATTTCATCTGAAAATAATTCTGGTAAAACACAGCCTCAGCAACACGTGTCTGAACAACACATACAAGCAACGAAGATGAAATTTGACGTTAAATTCGGACTAAATAGGAATCGGAATAATATGTCTTGTAGTTGAACACGTAGGCTTTCGTGGCCAATATCATCCATAATATAGTTTTTTTTGGGTTAGATTGCGGAATTATAAATTTCGTACTCAGATTGTAAATGTTGTGGCTTTGCTCTCCAACACCGGTGTGCTGTTCTAGTAACGAATTGTCACGTTCTGTTTACGTGACAACCCTTATTTTTGCTGTGACGGATATTTTGCTGTGACGATTTCACCTGAAGACGGAAGCTTGTGTTGCCTCCGAAACGTCGTGATTTTTATTGTTTTATTAATTTTAATTTCATTTTTTTACCTACGTGACTTTACCGAAAGAACTAAGAGTATGTGACAACCCTTACCAGTTGGCTGCGTCGGGTGGTGGTGGGATTAATGATGCATTAATATATTTATGCGATCTAGCCCCCCCCAAAAAAAACCTGTATGAACAGTTATTTCTTCGTTTTTGTCAGTGGTACTAGCGTGGCAGCAACGACGCCATCATCCACGGAGGAGGAGCAGGCTGATGGGACCAGCTCCCAAGGAGAAGAGGAGCCAAACAACAACGACTCGGCGGAAGAGGATGTGACAACGCCCAGTGACATTGGGGCGGAAGACTCGATCGAGGACCATCTGACGCTGCCCTCCCACTACTTATTTGAGGATCCGGAGCAGGAGTTCGACCCGGAAGACCTGAAGCCTCCCATCGTCTTCCCGCCTACCCTGCCACCTGTAAGCACGGCTGTTCAGGCAGTGCATTTTGAAAAATATTTTGTAGCCTGGTTTTCACGGGTATCTTCGACCGAATAGCCAAGATTGGTACGGCATTATTAAGATCTCGGGGTCTATGGACGGTTCAGCCTGATTGGAACTTGGATGCGCGACTGGCTGAGATAGTCAGGAGTTTTAGGCGTGGGCTTTAAAATGGCGAGGTGATCACAGTTCAGCAATGGATTCTTGCATCAATTTGTTGGGCAGATTTCAACGCTACCCCCTCATATACGTGCATATTTACCTCGCACAAGCCAATCATTCTCGGGAGTGAAAAGATCATAATGCACGAACCCTCTTGAAAAAGTATTGTGACTTGGTGTAGCTTTCTTGGGTAAATAAACATAATGGTAATTATTACGATTATATGCGCATATACATGGCGTGGAACGGTGGCACTGTAGTTGTCACGCTGCGCTATGAGCCTGGTGACTTGAGATATGGCCATGGCTAAAATCAGTGGCGAGTGATATTTGACCTGGTCCAGCACGGTGAAATATAGTCACACAAACCCCCCTTGACTGAAAGGCATGCAGAGGCCTTCATCTGTAAATGGATTGACAAAGCGCTGTTTGATTAATTATACAAAATATAAACGTATATACCCTGTATCGTGAAATCTGAGAATAATTTCCACGGCCATAACCAATCGATGAAGGATAACAATGTTACTTTTCACAAGTACGCAACAAGATGGACATTCTTTAAAATTCATTTTTTTGCTTGCTTTGTTGTCCTACCCCCGCACCTCCGATTGGCTACGTGCGGTGCGAAAGAAGTTCAAAATACGTACATAAATTCCATAAAACCCTCAACTTACGGCGCGTGTGCAGAACAAGCGGACAAACCTGAAGAAGCCGGGCTCGGAGCGCACGGGCACGGGCGATCGTGTCAAGTTCAACCCGCTGGCCCTGCTGCTGGACGCTTCCCTCGAGGGGGAGTTTGACCTGGTGCAGCGCGTCATCTACGAGGTCAGCGCCGCCGACGCCGCCGCCGACATTGCGTCTGCCGAGTTGCCGATTCGCTTGCCCGCCACACCGTCCGTGGTTTTTTGTATCGTGTCGTCCGTTCTGTCACGCTTCCTCGTGCGGCCAACCCGCAGGGTTATATATATATATATATTTTTTTTTATCACGCAATAATAGCAAAATAAATAAACATTACAAGCTGTAAATGGGCTAAACTGCATGTTCACAGAAGTAGCGAAGTTTTGTTTGTGTATATGTATCCCAGGGCACCCCGAATTTATGCCAGTTTTTCAAGATCACATTGCGGATTGTTGGCCCTGTCTGTGCAGAATTTTAGTGTCTGTTCATATTTATAGGTTTTATATGAATGCACTGGTTTACTCCCATATGTAAAATATAATACGTGGACCTGGCCAAGCATTCCAAAGCTGGACCATCCAGAAAATGTTTATCCGGACATAGTTAGTTTAGGACACCGTGGAATATAATTTTAATGGTAAGAGGATTCACGATAAGTAAAAAAAAGAAGTTATAATGAAATTAGCCATAGCAATGCATCATGTTTAATGTGGTTGAATTGTGGTTAAAGGCTGAACTGGAACGCTTTCAAGGTAGTAAATTAGGAAAATAAATAACGTCAGTAAATGATACTAGTGCAATTACAGAAACAAATACAAATGTCTACAAGAAAATCATCCTATTACAGATAAGGTGTAAAAACAGAGGTAGGGACTGAATAAGGTTAGGGGTTGTACTATCTAATTTAAACTTCGGATAAACATCTAAATTGCTTGCCTGAAATGTCACAGGTACATTAGAGGAATTAAAACTGACGAGTGGCCGTGAGTTGATGAATATCATTTTTGGGGAGTAAAATACCCCGAGATTCAAAGGACCTTTGTAAAAAACACCCCTTGAATCCTACAAAATCCACATCGATGGTACATTCCTCAGTATTGGAATCCTCAACAATTTAATTAGATATTTTAAAATTACTTTCGCCAAGCTGCACAGTTAAGAGGTGGCAGCATCTCATTTGCCGTGTTTGTCTTGGTGGTACAAGCTTGACACGTAATTTCGCTTGATTTTATTTCACGTTCTTGACCACCGCATGCTGCCGAGATGCAGCGTTTTCATTAAGATCGCGGCAAAGTAAGTGGTTGCACTCCACTGCAGATTGGATGGACAGTACGTAATTCAAGTGTTCCATAATCGTAACACGGACACCAAATAACTTGTAACTTTAAATTACTTGAACCAGAAGCACATGGCTACATACACTTCAGGTCATTATTTTTTTTAAATCACTTTAACTAGGCCCTGACCTGTTTATAATATAGACTTTGAAGATGATATGTAAAAATTTACATTTTGGCCAACCCACACATTTGGTGAAACTGCCTTTGCTACAAAAATTACCTAAATGAACAGATTCTGCAATATTTTAAAGGAGGCCCAATGATAATGTTACTGCACCTAAATGAAGTGTCCATTATGGAAATTTGCCAAGACATCATATGCCAGGATGTCTATGCTCAGTGTAAAAAAACTACGCCTTTATTGCTGTTCATTTTTGCGACATTAACCATGACGATGATACAAATGCGATTTAAGTTGCGATCGCCCTTGATTGCATATCAAATGCTTCAACCGAATGACCTTGGCTGCAACCCAGTGTATTGCAGCAGCGGTCATCTGCTGCATTGGGTTTTGTCAGTAATAACCCATTTCCACCATCACCTTCTAGCCAATCTAATGCTGGGCCGTCAGTCATGGTACGGGTGGTTTTCCACTGGCTATTTGCTATGCTGAGCTGGAACCAAACCGTGATGCAGTGTCCTCACGAGACAACGGAATCTTGCTTGAGGCCAAGCAGGGCCAGGGACTGAGGCTAATGACTCCTTCATTGAGTTTGATGTCAGTTCGTACACTGTGAGTACACAGCGTCATCTACACTGCACGTTAGTCGGTACATACGCTGTGAGGACAGAGCGTCATCGAGTAACCTCCGTAGACATCTCGACTTGTTCATTTCCCTTGACGTTAGTGGCAACGGCTTTGCTTCTACGGTGGAAAAAACCTCACTGGTGCTTACTGAGCCACACTGGGGCTGGCTTCGTGCGGCCTCAGAACGCACCTGGCACGGCCCCGGCATGGCCCCAGTACGGCTCGATCTGTATGGTGGAAAGTTGTTACGAGCGAGCGGCTTTTTGTCCGCAGGCGGAGGACCCCAGCCGGCCCAACGACGAGGGCATCACGGCGCTGCACAACGCGGTGTGCGCTGGGCACATGAACATCGTTCGCTTCCTCGTGCAGTTCGGCGTCAACGTCAACGCCGGCGACAGTGACGGATGGTGTGTGTCTGTGTGTGTGCGCGTGTCCATTTCTCACCCACAAACTACATGAGATGGGGGGGGGGGGGTGGTGGCTGGCATTGTGAGCGCATGCGGATACGAGATGAGATGACCTGGTCCTCAAACGTGTCAAGTGTCCAGAAACAAACGGCACCTGTGAAGTTGTAGTAGTAAAAGCTGATGTGATTCTTGCATTGAGCAAGGTTGTAAAGAGTTTGGGAAATTAAATGATGGGAGGGAATTCCGAAGTCTAGCAGTGTTAGGGAAGCAGCGGATAAATACGTGTCTTGACCCACAGAGTGGGGGCGCGGGGAGGTTGAAGAGAGTATGGATAAGATCATGATAGTGGTGGTGACAAGGTCATAGATTACCGTTGCGTCATGGTGGCGAGATATTACATACCTCGCCTGGTATACAGGACGTTGTGGGTTCGACCTCGACCCTGAAGCCTCCTGTATATTTGGAGTTTGCATGTTCTCCCCGTGGTCGCGTGGATTTTTCTCCGGGTCCTCCGGTTTTTCTCTCCACAATTAGAAACCGCGTGCATTTTGGAGTGTTTTGCTGCACTACATTTCCACGCGATAAGCCCACTTCGTTGAGCTCTCATTTTGTGATGGCCAGGTCACTTCTGAAAAAGAGCTTCACAGCTCAGCGGGGCCTTACCTGGTACAATAACAATAGTTTAGTTTCTAGTTTAGTCCAGGGTTCGACACCAAATATAACAAGAATAGCCATTTCTTTCTTCAATATTTCAAGGGCCGCAATGCGTGTGGTGAATGCGAGATGGTGGTCCTTAATAAATAACGTCACGAAGCAGTCCTCAACGAGCCGCGTTACGGCTCCGGAGGGCCGCAGGTCGCCGGCCCCTGGTTTAGTCTCACCGTGAGCGTCTTGCGGCCGCTTCGTGCCAGGACCCCGCTGCACTGCGCCGCGTCGTGCAACAGCACGCAGCTGTGCCGCTTCCTGGTGGAGACGGGCGCCGCCGTGTTCGCCGCCACGCAGAGCGACATGGAGACGGCGGCCGAGAAGTGCGACGAGATGGAGGAGGGCTACGAGCAGTGCTACCAGTTCCTCTATGGTGGGTGATCCTGCACGTGCTCATGATTATCATTGTCGCCGTCGGCCACGATCAATCCACTGCTGGACGAAGGCCTTCCCACGCCGTTATTGTCCCTTGCGTCCGGTGCTGCTGCCGCCCACCGCAGCCACGCACGTGAACTGCACTTAACAGCTCCATTTCCAGTTTTCTGTGTTGCATTCAGCAGTGTATACGGCAGAGGTCTCAACCGGGTACCCGATACCCGTACCCTACCCGATACCCGGCTACCCGTACCCGGCCGGGTATGGGTACCCGTTTGCGACCGGCTGCGGCCGGGTACGGGTACGGGTAGGCCGTGAGTCACTGGTGAGTAGCCGTTTGTCACTCATTTCCCAACGTCTTGTCTCTTCTCACAATTCAAATTCATAGAATCAACCCACCCGCGCCTGCAACATGGCTTCATCCCAGAGGTCGCAATCGGGTACCCGATACCCGTACCCGGCTGGGTACGGGTAGGGTACGGGTATCGGGTACGGGTAGGGTACGGCCGGGTACGGGTACGGGTATCCGTTTGCGTCCCTGGTGCGGCCGGGTACGGGTAAGGAATCAAAACCCGTTTGCGATCCCTGGTATACGGGGTCATCGTCACCATCTCTTACGGTCTCGCGTATATGTACGCATGTTGAACGTCTTTCGCACCGTACGTAGCCAACAATTCATCGCGCTCATGCACACAAACTGATCTCACAGTTCCATCTCCGCTGTGGACGTACTCTCAGGGCGCGTTCCCTCCTTGGCTTCCATTCCATCGCCAGTCTCGTCCATCTGCCGCAGTCTAGTCTCGCGTTGTTCCCCGTTCATGCCCATTTCCTCTACTTAATTGTCATAAGGATGTCTCTCTGATTTGTACTGGACCCTGATTTACGCATTTCTATTTCGGTGTCGGTGTAATTGTGAGCGCACACCTCTCCATAGCGCGTCTCAATTACCACGGCACCTCTTCCGTCCCTGGGCTCCCACTACAACGGCGGCGACTATTTTTGACAAAAGGCACTTGAACACTGGCAAGTGGACAGCGTAACACTCCAGGCCACCGGGGGTTGATATTTTCTAAGTGTGCTTCAGAGAATTGACGTTGTGGAGTGAACTATGCCCGCTGATATGAAGTCAAAGCCATGTCCAAACTGTTGCGAAAGAGTAAAGCAATAACTGTCAAGGGCAAGTTTGGATGGTCCCATTTTTAAACAACACACTAACCCTGAACCTCACCCCGAGGGATTGTGTTTGCGTGCCAGTCGCCATTGTGCTCTTCCAGTGTATAGCTTGTCTGCAATACTATGGAGTAACAGTGTTCAATAGAGCATAACAAATGTTTTCTTTTCAATAATGTCTAAGCACATTTGTGAATCACCTCCTGAATAGAGGCCCTCCGTGATCTTGAGTGTTGTTTCGGCATACTTGACCTTGCGAAGCAGTGCGTGCAGGTAAGTTGGAGTGGAGGGAGATCCCAAGACTGGTTCAGAAGTGATTTGCCACCGATGTTAGCCATGGCCAGGAGTAAAATCTAGATCACCAGATTCACAGTTCGAAGTTCAACGGAAGCAAGCATCGAATCGTGTGATCAAGCGACCTTGATAACTGAGTTACAGATGTGTGACACGTCACTTGGGTAAAACAACAACCGCTCGCGTGTTGTGCGTGTGTGCGCGCGTGTGTTTACATGGCCATTTGGGAGTGGGACCGGTAATATGGTGGTTAGCGCACCGTGCTACAAAGCCGGCAACCTGAGTTGCAATTCCCAACCATGGCTAACATCAGTGACAGATATCTGAACTATTCGAGGACTTCCCCGAGGTCTACTGGGCCTCAAATGAGTACCTGATGCGGCGTATAATCATCAGCACTGGGGAGACAAAGGCTGCCGGGCATGGTGCGAGCCTCACGCGCTGTGTCAGCCTTCACACGTGCTCGCTGACGGCGCTTGCCCCCGACAACTCGTACGCCTACATTGGGGGCTGATCGTTGTCGTTTGTGTGTGTGGGTGTGTGCGCACGTGGCGTTGTTGCTCGCAGGCGTGCAAGAGAAGATGGGCGTGATGAACAAGGGGGTGGTGTACGCGCTCTGGGACTTGGAGGCGGAGAGCGAGGACGAGCTGACGGTGCGGGAGGGCGACGCGCTGACCGCGCTGCGACGAGGGGACGACGAGGAGACGGAGTGGTGGTGGGTGCGCTTGGACGAGCGGGAGGGATACGTGCCGCGCAACCTGCTCGGGGTGAGGAGGAGTGAGAGGAGGATGAGATGCTGGATCACATTCGGGGAGCCGGGGGCTAACATGCCACGTGCGTTCACGTGATCGATATATTAAAGGGACGGTCAGTTGTATGTATGTACGTTTAACTTCTTTCGCATCGTACGTAGCCAACGGTGCTAATCGGAGGTGCGGGGAAAGGACAACAAAGTAAACACAAGAAGCAGTTTTTAATAAATGAGTTATCAAACTAGCACTTGAAAACAAAGACCGTCACTGCAATCGCGCGCTTTCAGATGCGCTTCTGCGGCCGTCTGGAACGCTCTTCCGATATTAGGAAGCCACTTTAGCTACGCTCTTTTAAATCTAAACGGCCTAATTTATTTCAAAATAATGGTAAGGAACACTTTGTAGGTGTTTCCGGTCGTGCTGCACTCTGCGTGTGATTGAGGGCTGTACCACGTGCTCCGTGCTCCTTTGGCACGATGTCCAGTGTTTCACTCCGTGTCCTAAAACTTTCTTCGCTCCACGTGCTGGGAACTTTTTCTCGGGAGAACGAACCTGGAGCTAAATGTCAGACTTCGTGCCGAACAACACGCGGGACAACCATATTACGCGTCAAAGGGCAATAGTGAGGAATTATAGAGTGCTCCAATTGTTATTTCAAATTGTCTGTCTCCCACCAATCTCGATACATTTTTTGCGTTTTCTCACACTCCCCTCTTCGATTTGGAGCTGATGCTTTCACAATATTCAAACAGCTGTTGAGAAGAATGCATCACTGTGTGGTGAACGGTAGTTTAGCGTTTAGCGCGCTGTGCTACGAACCCGGCAACCGGAGTTCGATTCCCGCTCACGGCCAACCGTGACAATTATCTGAACTGGTCCTGGGCCTCCCCTAGGTCGACTCAGCCTCAAATGAGTACCTGGTGCATCATGTAAACATCGCCACTGGGGTGACAAAGGCGGTTGGGCGTGGTGCTGGCCAATCCACCCTTTCGTCTCCCGTGCCGGCCTTCATAGATTCTCGCTAACAGCACTTGCCCCAACAGTCTGTTAAGGCTGTATGGGGATCTTTGTTTGTTGTTTGTATATATACACACACGTGCGATTATTTGTGGATTTTTGGTTTTATTCTAAAGTTTGACGAGCAGCCTGCACTTCCTTTGGACGTGACCATCTGTCCGTTCCTCCCTCTCGGCAGGCAGGCAGGCAACCAACCAGCCAGCAAAACTTTTAAAAATAACAGCTTGAAAGTACCTGTCATTAAACGACCTTCCTCCCCACCCCTGGGTGTCCCCCTCCCTCCCACGAGTAACAACACGCACCCCTCCCCGCCTAGCCCCCCCCCCACCGCGCGCGTGCCCCCACCCGTTTGCAGGCCACCTGCGTAGAGAGCGAGCCAGCAAAACTTTTTTGTGAAATATAAATTCGCGTGATATTCCATTTGCACGGTCACTGTTATGCCGCTAGATGCAGGCAGTTCATTTTGAACTCTGGCAGAAAGTGTTGAAGATGACAGCAGAACTTAGATTGAGGTCCCTTGATTTGCTTTCTACACTGCACGGGATGGTGCACCTTCTCGCAAATGCAGTCTGTTGAGATATGGGTTGAGTGGCGGATACATACACATTTTATTTGTAAAGTGTAAAAGCAATTGAATTGGTTTTATTTGCCACGGTCGTTTTGAATGGTGCCGAGACTGTCAACTGGCTATACAATTAAGAACCTTCATTAATTATGGTTGAAACGTGGGATCTCTGTAGTGATGGTTTATTGCCAACGCGGCATTAGCCCCCCTATACTTAGATAATACATATTGAGTTTATGTTGCATTGCACATGATTGGATATAATACTTTCTATTAAAACCTGTCACTTTGCACACACAAACAAAATTGCATATTAACATGCACTTGCAAGCATTGCACAATGTAAACAATTGCACACTATAGGTCACCACGTTACATGATTTATAGCCATATAACTAAAGGTAATATAAATAGGTATATCTTTTTTTTTACACATTTCTTGGGAGTAGTTTATTGTTTGTATTTTCACATCATTTCGGGTTGGTCGTAAATCACGTGCGTTTGTATGTTGGATGTGTGGGCGCCTGCATTTGTAGATGCACGGGAGACTGTTTAACAATGTTGTGCGTCTCTCGACAGCTCTACCCGCGGATCAAACCACGGCAGCGGAGTCTGGCCTGAAGGACGCAGGGGGACTGTAGCCTCATCCTGAAACCTGGCGACTCGTCTTCAATGAAGCGTCCTCGCGGAAGCTCTCCGCGTACTTGGCATCGGGCACCAAATGAAGCGAAATTATATGCCCCATGTGAAAGCCGGAGACCGTCTGGCCTTTGTGATATTTTCATGACAACGCAAATGATTTATCATTCAGTAGCCTTTGTGATGTTGGCAGTAATACCGTGTTTTATTTATGTGAATTGCATTTGTGTTAATGTCTGTGCTCCGATGCTTGATGTGTGCGCACGTGGTGCTTGGCTGGTGGCCACACTGTGCCATGAATGCCGGACTCTTCGTTACAGTTTTAACCGGGTCGCAATCATTTCCTGCGTGCGGATGGACTAAGCCAAGTGGACATTTTGGCAAACGAATGTGTGGTTTTTACAATACCCGTTGTACGACGTGTGGCTGTCTGCAGGAGTGATGATTCCCCTTGACAATCTTTAATTTAAACGTTAACCACAAAAAAGCAGACATCTGTTCGGCCCCACCTCTTAAATAAGTTAGCCCATTGAGTGTTGGTTTTACAAAGAGCTTGTTAGTTTTATCCACGATATGAGCTGTATACCAAGCCAACAATTTTGGGATAACGATTTATAAATATGCTTAAATTTAGTACAATTTCAAGTTAAGTTTATAAAACCCCTTTGCCGGTTTTTGCGTACTCATTAAATATGCTCACGGACATTTTTGCCTGTACTAATTTTTTTTAATAACTGCTGTTTTCACTTTAATTTAGCAAAACATATAAATATAATGTAAGGTGGTGCAGGAGAGGTTACAAGCTACTTTACCGTACGGTTATCAAATATAACCGTGTCCTTTTTTTTAAAGTACTTGCCACTCTTAATGCGTGGACCTTTATTTTATTCTACACTTTACCTGCCGGGACTGGAAAGTGTGCATTTTGTTTTTAGCACACGTGTAATTATGAATGGAATGAATTGGAAGTAAATTATCCTTACTGTTGTTTTATGATTGCAGTGAAAAATGTACATGCACATTAAATGTCTGTACAGCTGTCGTTTAATACTGCGCATGAACTGTAATACAGTATTAAATGTACTCTTTGCTTTGTTACGTTACGAATTTATGGTATTTGTTATTGGTCTGTCATGTTTTAACATGTGGTGGTGGGGTGGGGGGGTTGCTCTACAGCTATAGTGTAATGCGTTTGTAAAATTGTTGTCATTTGGAAGGGATAAACCAAATGAAAAAACATCTCGCTTTGGTTTCAACTGCCCTATGGTTTGTACGTTATTCCCTGTCGCAGAGTAGTTGCTTCAAAAGTTACAATAAACAATTTCTACGCCATGTGCGAGAGACGTGTGTTGCCAATGTCACAATGACGCTACAACTCTGACGCGTCACGTTCGCGGATCGCACTGCCGTCCTACACCATGACCACTCCACTGCTTAGATGATGGAGGCAGTGGTGTTAACCATGATCATGGTATTAACCATGATATTGATCATGATCACTACTACTTAGATGATGAAGGCAGTGGCGTTAACCATGATCATTCTATTAACCATCATCACTACTGCTTAGATGATGAAGGCAGTGGTGTTAACCATGATCATTGTATTAACCATGATATTGACCATGATCACTACTACTTAGATGATGGAGGCAGTGGTGTTAACCATGATCATGGTATTAACCATGATATTGACCATGATCACTACTACTTAGATGATGAAGGCAGTGGCTTTAACCATGATCATGGTATTAACCATATTGACCATGATCACTACTACTTAGATGATGAAGGCAGTGGTGTTAACCATATTCACCACGATCACTCCACTGCTACGATGATGAAGGCAGTGGTATTAACCATGATCATGGTATTAACCATGATATTGACTATGATCACTCTACTGCTTAGATGCTGAAGTCGGTGAGTGGTATTAACCATGATCATGGTATTAACCGCGATTGCTCCGATGCTTAGATGAAGGCAGTGGTATTGACGACATCTGGCGGGTGATAATAAAAAAATTATTCACACGACGTTTCGGCCACAACGCAAGCAGCCGTCCTCAGGTGAAGAACAGGTCTGTCGGAAAGTCAGCGTCTGAATGGGCACCACCAGGCTTGGCAGCGTATATTTCAGCTGGGTTGGAGGGGGGAAGGGGCGCCTTGACAAAGGAATTTGCGTATCAAGAGATAATTATTTAATTATGTTTTTTTTTTACGTGACTTTACCGAAAGAACCAAGAAGATGAATCCCTGCAGTCACGAAAGCTTTAAATCGAAATCCCAGTGTGTATTGCTTTCTGCTACATGCTTGAGACGAACGACAGATTGGCAACCAAAGGAGAGAACACCGTGGAGATGGAGTGATGATAATTGTTTGGAGTATGTGCAGGAACTAGATGATGACAATGGCTTCGTCATTATGTTGATGAAAGTAGCGCTGTTGAGGATTTTCTAGGTGCTTTTCGTGTGTGCCTGTTTTACTACCGCCCACGCAGCCCCTACAGCTTTTCAATCGTTAGCTCCGGTCATTCTACTGCTGGATGAAGCCTTACCCAAGCCATTGCCATTTCTCGTGCCATCAAATTAACTTAATTTCGTAATAGGGTTCTGTAAGTTCTTCATGACTTGGTAAATGGAGTGCACGAAAGAGATGAGATTAGTTAATTAACATGTGCACGTGTTTTTATTGCTGTTGCCCATTACAATTTCGTTTTCTTGTAACTGCAGAAGGGTAGTCTCGATCCCTGAGGCTCGTTCCTCATCATTCACCATCTCGCACGTGGCTTAAACGCATCCAAATGGCCTCCGCTGAGCGACAAACGCGCGCATCGTTCGAAAAATAGAATCCTTTTAAATGCTTGTCTCACCCCGTTAGCCGCCGGCAGCTAACGATCCCACCCACATCTTTGTTTTAATGATGCAGAGCAGATTGCACGTGCGTTCCCTCGCCAGCGCAGAAGGCTCCCGAGATTGACAGCTTCTTTTAGGGAGCGTATTTAAACCCGCGTCATGAATCATTGAACAAAACTGCGACGAGCGGGGCGCGTTGCCCGTTCCGCCACGTAGTTGATATGTACCAAGACCGCTTCCCCGTCACCAGCCACCCTCTCTCGTTTGTGCCGGGTGATGTACGCCTTGCAATTATCGGTCATGTCACCGCCGGAAGGCGAGCATCGCCGGTTTTTTGACGGCAGACGACACGGAACAGATATATTAGAATTCATTTACTGGAGAGCCACACTTGAGCCGTAAGACTTTTTTCACGAGGGTCCTGCATGGTGTTTTTTTTCTTATTCTTTTAAGATGTTTTTTTTTAAACTCTCCAGCCAATGAATGAGATTCTCGTACGCGCGCGAGAAACCACACGCCTTGCGCGAGGGGACAACGCTCTATCCCCGTACGGATGGACACGCGGCGATTAGCACACTTGCTGTACAGCCGCCTCCTGGCGAGCCGGAGTTATTGCACCACGATGCCTACGGGAAGGGAGTTTAGCAACGTTTGTGTGACCCACCAACCCTCGCTGCCTTCCACAGTGCTGGATTACATGTCACGTGCATAGCCAACACCGCCCGTTGCGATCGGGGAATTGTGAATTGTCGTTTAATGCCGAGGGTGAGTGTAGACCTCCATATCAAGGCTGCAAAGTTTATGCAAAAGATTTATTTCGGGTGGCACGCAAAAAACCTCCGCTCGTTATTTTCAAGGTCGCGCCTCCGGGGCTGCGATTAACTTGCCTCGTCAACTGAAGCCCCCTCGATATTGGCTGCGTTATTCAACGGAGTCGAGAGATGCACATTTGCAGAGACGAGAGGGAGAGTCCCCGGCGACCTGTAAACGTGAACGGATGACAACGAGCTGCTGTTGACTTTTACACCCCGAAGTGACAAATCGAGAGGAGGGCGTGATCTCAGGACGCACGCAACTCACAACTCTTCCACACGCGCACACGTGTTCAGGAGCTATTCGGCTGCTCTAAATGTACGCGTGATCAGCCACTCCGTTGAGCTGTCTTTGATGGGCAGATCGCTTCTGAAAAAGAAAAGAGCTATGTAGCCCAATGTGTGCATAAACTGGTAAAATAAAAATACAAAAACATTTAAGTGGCAGCCTAATATTTATACATACATGTCCAGTATGTCCATGTATCGTGTGCGTCTGTGTTTAGTATAAGTATGTCCCTGTGTGCGGTATATGTGTTTGTGTGTGGAGTATTTGATGTACGTGTGTTCTTAACATGCGTGTAATACACGTATATGAATCGTATATGCCCTTGTATGTATGTATGTTATATAAGTGTGTACGTGTGTGCTGAGAATTGTTTTTCCTAATGGAAATACTTTCGTATAATTTGTTTTTGCGTTTAAAGCAATATTTTTAATGACTAATTTCAACGTGAATTTCGTAACGAAGATAACATTTTAATTGCTCATATTAGAAACCGCTGCTGCAACGCCACGGTCTGATTTGTGATGCTTCGGGATGGCTGTGGAGATGTCCTCCGAGTGAGAGATTTCCTTTCGCTCATTGCGATCAGCTTCTAGCGTTCTACCCATGCCGTTTGAGACCCAAATCAGGGCGGTGATAGTCGACCACCCGAAGACAGATCGCCAATTTCCCGGACGGGTGGCAACCTCCCAGTGTTCGCCAACAGCACTTGCCCCAACGACGGCGCGTAAGGCTATACGGGGCACCTTTGTCTTTCTCCCCCCTCGATCTTGCCGCATTGCAACACGAATCGCGTGCGGTAGGTGTCGCATGACGAACTGACTGCAATCTCTCCCTCCTTTGCTCTCATTCGTAGCGGCGTTTGCAGACAGGGAGAGAGGTCCCACGGCATTCTCTCCGTGAGAGTGGAGCATAGGCCACCGTTGCTGCACCAACCTCTCGCCTGTCCGTGCCTGTGGTCTTCTGTCTGCCTGTCCCCTCTCTTCTGTCTGTCCGCCTGCCTGTCTGTCTGTCTGTCCTATCTGCCTCTCTGTCCCGGGCGTGCAAAACCACAAGCAGAGGCCATGGACATGGAGCGTAAGTTTCGTGAGAGAACATCGGCTGCGCCTTACCCACCTCACTCACCGGCCGACAGACACCGCCTGCTCTTACCGGCGCTGCAAAGCTGTTGGGGGGTTAGAGGAATGCCCCATGCATTGGCTTGGCAATGTCGCGTCGTATTTGTTTTATGTTATTTGTGTTCTCATCATCGTCGTCGTCGGCATCATTATTTGTTTTTATTCGTGCGCATCGCAATGCTGCATCTCGCTTGCTCGCAAGCAAGATACAAATCGTCCAAACGAAGGCAGGGCGTTGTCCGATTGTGGTTGGATTTTCATTCGAATTCCTTGGACTTTCACCCCTCTCCCCCCCAAACATGCTTCGCTCTCTCGCTCCTGCAGGGGGAGGAAGGTGATTATCTTCGCTCGAATTCATCTGGAAGCTGTAATTGGCGTGCAAATGGAAACGGCGATTTTTTTTGAGAAAAAAGATAAAGATTTGCAAATATTTTTAAATGCATACTGTATACAATCGCTGTAAGGACCCCTCCCATACGTTGTGTTGCATTGGTCTCAGTTGCACGCAATTGCGCAGTGCAGGGCAGGGATTTAAGTGATTGCTGTGCACAAGGAAAGCACATGTACAGCTCTTTTGTCAATCCACTGCTGGATGGGAGCTGTGCTGACTCTTGGAGAGGCGTTATTTAGCCATATTTCACCACGATGGTCAGTGCGGGTTGCCCGAAGGCCGGTAGCATCGATGTGGGGGCATCTTAGTACCATGAATTCGTTTTGTTGCACTGCCCACCACCACCACAATGTTGCCCCGCGGTGTGGCTGCTCTATATGTCCACGTGATAAGCCACTTCGTTGAGCTGTCGTTTATGGATTTCCACGCGATAAGCCACTTCGTTGAGTTGTCATTTGTGGCCAGGTCGCTTCTGAAAAAGAAGCTCATAGCTCAGTCGTCTTTTTTTGGTAAAGCCCACTGAGCTATATTTCATCGTGATTTCCTTACCTCTCCTATACTGTGCACTCCTATCGTGTTTTTTTGGTATTGTTTGTTGTAACTTTCTGACCCGCCCCTACTGGACATCTGATAAAAA